TATATTTGCTATAATTTTTGCCAGTATAATGTATAGATAAAATGCAATGCTCTTTAACCCCTTAAAGGACCACTATAGTGCCAGGAAAACATACTTGTTTTCCTGGCACAATAGTGCCCTGAGGGTGCCCCCACCCTCTGGGTCCCCCTCCCGCCGGGTTCTGGGGGGAGGAAGGGGTTAAACTTACCTCCTTCTCCAGCGCCGGGCGGGGAGCTCTCCTCCTCCTCTCCGGCTGAATGCGCATGCGTGGCAGGAGCCGCGCGCGCATTCAGCCAGTCCACAGGAAAGCATTCACAATGCTTTCCTATGGACGCTGGCGTCTTCTCACTGTGAAAATCACAGTGAGAAGTGCGGAAGCCCTCCAGCGACTGTTAATGAGACAGCCACTAGAGGCTGGATTAACCCATTTATAAACATAGCCGTTTCTCTGAAACGGCTATGTTTATAGAAAAAAGGGTTAAACCTAGCTGGACCTGGCACCCAGACCACTTCATTAAGCTGAAGTGGTCTGGGTGCCTATAGTGGTCCTTTAAGGACCAAACTTCTGGAATAAAAGGGAATCATGACATGTCACACATGTCATGTGTCCTTAAGGGGTTAGGTTCAAGTTGTACTGGGCAAGACAGATACCACTTCACTTAGAACCACTTGAGAGAACACTGATAGTTTGTTTATTGATTATATAAAAATGTTGACTTACTTAGTCAATCCACGTTGAAAAAACTGTCAAAATAATAAAATAATGTTTGTTATGCATGTTTTATGACAATTTTTTTTATATAAAATAAATTTACATGTAACTGTTATTGGGATGTGTTTAACTTCGTATTGCTTCCTGCAATTTCATAATTAATAGACCATGGAAAAGCCCATAACTAAAATAAGTGCTGGTTAAAGAGTAATTTTTTTTAGTAATGGTTGTTAAAACAAGCAGCTAAAATTAAGTTACTAAATAAAATATATTCATAAATAAATTCTAGAATCTGCTTAACCTTGAGTAGAAAACCTCAAAATTCATGTTAAATGTTTTTAAGGAGGCACTGCAATAAGTTATTTCCCCCCCGAAAAAGAAAACCAGAAAGTGATAAAATACATCTGGTAGATCTGGTTTGATAGTTGCTCCTACAAACAACAAATGGAAGGTTTCCTTCTAACAGCTCACTGTTGACTTGATTTGATAAACTACATGAGGTTAATTTGCATGGGAAAGCCTCCTAAATGCAGATGAACCTACTGGTGGAGCAAGCTATATATTAGAAGTCTTCCAAACAAACATATTGTTTTGACCAAACAACCACATGTAGTGTGGAGCCACCCTACCCTTTCACAAGAACCTTTCTTCCTTCTTGTGTTCCACCTCCTACCATTGTTGAAGCTGAAAAAGGTCCTGACAGGACACTAATATACTCTGCCTATTTCTCAAGCACATAGGAAACTAAAATCTTAACTCTTTTTCCTTCTAAAAAGTTAATTTCCCTTAATCTTCCTACAATCTTCTTCATAGATTCTAAATGTGTATATTTATTAACTCTTTAATTTCAACATGAATCACATTTTATCTAAATATTTATATCTCAATATTTATATATTGTACAAAAGAGTTACATGTTTTCCTTACAGCTCTCATACTTACCATATTCCACAGACTAATTTCATATACAGATTAAAGGCATAGGTAAATGTGGTAACTGAGTATACGTACATATGTGCGTTTGTGTGTGTGTATGTGTGTATGTGTGTATATATATATATATATGTATATATATATATATATATATTTATATATATACTTTTAAACAAACAATAGGAGCACCCAAAGGACTTTTCTTTAATCAAAAATCTTCTTTTATTTTCTCACAAAAAAACTTGTGATAATTACATTAGTGACCGACGTTTCGGCCCCTCCACTGCACATAGCACCTCCAGAACCAGAAGATTTGAATAACAATAAAGAAATAACACGTTCTAACACTTCCATGCAGAGCTACTGTCTTTTATATGGTGACAGCTAAAATAGGACTGTAATTCCATCTAATCCTTGACAGGAGATAAATGCAACAGTGGTGCCCTTACAGTGTATTATTACCCTTATGCAGCTCTGTTTCCTTCAGAGATTTTTTGCATATTTTTCAAAGATCTGCTAAGATGACATTCCTGCTTGGGTGCAGAGGCCTGAGGGTGCAGTCTAAGGTAAATATATTTACTTGAAGCCGTCCCCCCCATATGAACATCATTTTCTTTATTTAGGTCCTGGCGTTTCATCTTCCCAGATGTACATCAGTGTTTGTGCATGCGCAAAAGTGCAACACTGATGTCTAAGGAGGATCCCGCAAGACCACAGAAAATTTCATAGACTAAGTTTTGAGATGTGTAAGAAGCAGTCTGATCCCCACAGCCATCACTATCGATGGCTGCAGGAATTAAAGGAACACTATAGTGTTAGAAATACAAAACTGTATTAATAACACTATACTGTTCCTCTGCCTCTGTGTTCCTTGTTTATAAAAGGGTTAAAAACCCTTTCTTTAACTCACCTGATTCCAATGCCGAGATCTCTTCCTCCAGTAATGTCATGGTGATGGAGGAACCTAATGCACATGCATGCATGACGAGTGCTGTGTGCTTTAGACCTTTTCCTTAGAAAAGCATTGAATCAATTCTTTCCTATGGGAATTTTCAAGACTCTGGATGTGCTCATGCAAAGCACGTCTAGCATCGCTTCATGGTGTTAATCGAGGAAGCACCTCTACTGGTTGTCTGGAAGACAGCAACTAGAAACAGTCTTATCCCTTGTGTTCTACATTGCAGGGTTAAGGGGACAGGGACACTGCACCCAGATCACTACAATGAGATGAAATGGTCTGGTTGCCTATGTGGTCCTTTTAGCAATACTTGAAAATGGAATCTCTGCCTTTTGTCAAACTCGAACTTTACCAAAAGATAAAGTAGTCCCTACTTTGTTGTATAACTTTTTATTGCATTGGAATTTAATACAAAATGTGGGAGTATTTAATAAAAAATACAAAAATTTTTGGTGAGGTACCAGAGACACTTTAATAACTTACACTACAATAGCTATTAACCTCTGCAGTACAATACACTAACAATAAATATTAACCACTACACTACTCTAACTAATAACCTCTACATAACACTATACACAACTCTTGGACTTATTTAACCTACCTTAAAGGGATACTCAGGTCACCATAACTACTTCATATAAATAAAGTTGTTATGGTGCCAGGAGGCCGCCAGCCACATTCTTACCTTAGGGGGTTAAACTGTTTTCAAACGCTTTAACCCCCAAACTTGCCTTGAGTGCCAATCTGTAGGTCCCCGGCTTCTGGGAATCTCAGTTACAGGAAGTGCAAAGTGCTGCTGGGCAGGGGCACCGCTGATTGGCTAGAGCCTCCAGCTGATGTTCTAAGCCAATCAGTAGCTCCCCACTGATAAAATTATGAATTGGGAGCTACTGATTGGCTAAGAGCATCAGCTGACCAGCTGCACTTTGCGCTTCCTGTAAGTGAGATTCAGACGTCAGATACTGCCTGGTGGACCTGAAGATAGGCACAGGAGGCAACTTTTGAGGTTAAACCACTCGAGAATTGTTTAAGCCTTTAAGGTAAGACTGCAACCGCAGTTAATTTAGATTAAGTTGTTATGGTGACCAATATGTGTCAATTTAAAGGAAAACTATAGTGAAAGGAATACAAACATGTATCCCTGTTGCTAAAGTGGTGAAAACATAGTAAAGCTATAGTCACCAGAACAATTACAGTTTAATGTAGTTGTTCTGATGAGTATAGTCATGCAGGCATTTTTCTGTAAACATTGCCTTTTCAGAGAAAAGGCAGTGTTTACATTGCTCCCTAGGGACACCTCCAGTGGCAGTGACTCAGATGGCTATTAGAGGTGCTTCCTTGGTCAGTGCTGCACAACATGCATGTAAATGCTGAACTTTCCCAATAGAGATAAATTGATGCAATGCATATCTATGAGGAGATGCAGATTGGCCAGCAAGGCTTTTGGCTTTGCCCCATGGCCCCGCCTCCTTGACTGAGATCATCAGAATTGACAATGTCAACCAATCCAATACTTTCCTATGGGAAAGCATTGGATTGGCTAAGATCATAAATTCTGATGATGTCAGCCAAGAAGGCGTAGAGGCAGGACCAGCGCCAGCGCACCAGTATAAAGGTGAGTTGGGGGGTTGTTAAAATGTTGTTTTATACACGTTTGTATTCCTGACCATACAGTGTTCATTTAAGGTTCCTGGCCTCCCTGTCAGCAAAGTAAACATTTTACTCACCTTTATTCCAATACTGCATGGGTATCCTCGCGGCTGGCCCCACTGCCAGTCTGCCTCCTTGGCTGAGATCACGAAACCTGATGATCTCAGCCAATCCATTGCAAGGCTATTGCGTGTGTGTGGCAAAACGCAGTGCTGTGCCAATCAGCATCTCCTCATAGACCTGTATGAGGAACGTTAAGCTCCTCCATGCAGAGCATGGAGACGCTGAACGTCAGTGCAGCACATTGTGCAGCACTGACCCAAGAAGCTCCACTAGAGGTGTTACTAAACAGTAATGTTTTCTCTAAAAAGGCAATATTTACATTAAAAAGCCTGTAGGGATATACTATACGCACCATAACAACTACATGACGCTGTAGTTGTTCTGGTGTGTATAGTAAGAAATGGCATGTAATGTAAAGATACATAATGGTAAAGCATGAATTAGAATAAAATAATTCAATGGCATCATATATATATATATATACATACATACATACATACATATATAGGTAACTATTTTAGCTGGTCCTTAAACTTGTCCATATAGTGACTATATATATATATATATATATATATATATATATATATAGATATATATACATACACACACACATACTATAAATATATATATATATATATATATATATATATAGTCCCTATACGTACAAATTTGAGTACTAGCCAAAATTGTATTAACTTCAGTCCCAAATATAACATTGAAGGTTGGTGTACATTTTTTCGTTAGAGGGTTTGTAAAATGTGGTGATTACTGAGGAATCGAAAAGGGTTAATACATACACATAGTATTGAAGGTGGCTATATATTTACCATTTTAGTCCAAAAGTTACCAATGACAGTAAGTATCCTGTGGGTATGTATTCCTGTGGAACTGAAAGGGTTAATAAACACATTATGCAGTCAGAATCTATTAAGATGATTGTGAGGGAGATGAAGGAATGTCATGCTCTTTAAAAAGAAGAAAGAGTTAAGATGTTAGTTTTCTAAGTGCTGGAGAGATAAACAAAGTTGATTTATTGCCCTGTCAGGACCTCACTCAGCATGCCTCCTCACACTCTGTGCCTGCATAAGGTAACAGATCTCTATGGGTAACACACTTTAGCAGGACAAGGGCTTTGTGTAGCTTTCACCTGGAGTCTAGAGTGCTTTGCATTGCATGTCTACACGTTGTGCTGTTAGGAAGGCTTTGCGCACCCCCTGGTGCTCTCACAGTTTGTGTGGTTAGAGAGAGAGGTTGTCTTCTCTCACTCTCTTCCCTCTCCCTTCTGGTTGCTCATTATTCAGAGGGAGAGACACATACACACTCAGTAAGGAGAGAGAGAGAGACGGATCTTTCAGGTCATCTGCAGCTGCAGAGCAGAAGCAGCCAGTGAAGGAGAGAGGAGGAGGAGGAGGAGGAGAAAGAGAAAAAAAGGCAAGGGAAGATGGCGTTTCTCCATTGCTGAGACTGGCAAGAGCACGAGACCCAACCAACAACTTCAAGCAGATCCACCACCCTCACTCTCACAGAGCATTTGAAGAGGAAGGAACTGAAGAGCTTTCAGAAGACCCAGGATAAGAAGGTTGGAGCAGCTGAATCTGGAAACCAGTAAGTTCTTGCATGGTTCTCCTCTTCCTTAATTGCTATTGTTTTAATACCTTTGTCTGGATACCCCCTACCACCAAAAAACAACTATGTCTGTGGACTGTGGGTTTTAGCTTTTTGATAATACTAGAGATTCAGTGGAGGTTTAGGAAGCTTCTGTGGCTTGCTGTCTGGAGAAGAAAGGAGGTGGTGGTAGAAGGAGGAGAAGATAGGCGGCTAATTAATGAATTAATTAATTGACCCCCCTCCTCTGCCCAAGCACCCCCAAGTGGTGGAGATTAAAATGAACCAGAGACTATATAAAGGGGGGGGGGGAGAGGATTAGGAGGATTGGAGATGTTTTTGCATGCACTTGCATGTATGGAGTTTGATCACTAGCACAGGAGAGCAACAAGCTCAGAGGGGAAGGAATTAAACATTACAGATCTCACAGTGGCTGCATGACCCAAGCAATAGGGTGACCTCTTTCTGTCCATGCTTGGCTTGGAAGGGTCCCCCTCCCCTTGACTATATAGAGGACTCATGGCACCCCCCTCCTCCTCCTCCACCCTGAGCTGAGTTGACAAGCAAGGTTGAATTCTGGGTTGGAATATCATGTCTAAGAGGGAGGGCAGGGGGGTTGGGTTGGATTGTCTTGCAGCTCCAGGCTGGTGTCTCACAAGAGGCAGTTTGGAGAAGAAGAGAAGCTATTGTACATGCTGTGCTTGAAATAAAATGCAAGGCAGACAGAATACCATCACCACCAATGCTAATTGTACACTTAATTATCAACTTAAAAAATATACTTATAATAAAACACATTGTCAAAGTCCAACAAAATACAGATTATGCTTGGTTGTTCCACTTCTGTCTTTATCTGACTGTACTCCATTTTCTAGATGACTGGCTTGGTTTGTGTCCAGATTCCAAAGCACAAGCTCCTTCAGCATGTAAACTATCTACCCAAGCTTCCTCTGCTATATATACAGTATATATACAGTATGTATATATATATATATATATATATATAGATATATATATATATATATATATATATATCTCAACAAACCCATCCTAATTCTGTAATAGACAAAAAAGTTCATTTTTTTTTGTTTTATAAAGAACCTTCAAACATCTTATCTTCTTTGTGGTTTCAAGTAGCAGGGTTTTTTTTTTATTAAGAGGAAGTATCCATAGCAGTTGTTGCAGAGAAATAGATCTGAGTCAGGTAAGCCATGTCATGCTGTAGCTCCACCAGAAAATGGAGGAGAGCAAGCTAAATAGTAGACAAAGCTGAGATGGTGAGAAGCCCTGGCAACACTGATAGTTATCAGGCTTGCAGTCTATTAGAAAACCTTAATGCTCATCAATTCTGCTTTTTCTCATCCTTTTAAATTTACATTTGAATTTATATAATCCATAAAAAGTGGATTTGCTTTAAGTCCTTGGTGTTATTGCAACATCCATTCAGATTCCTTTCAAAGAAGATCATAGATACCAAACCTAGCCTACAGAGAATATTGGCATAATTCTTTTTTTAGCAGCAATTAACTAGAACTTGGATAGTGGTATTCACCAACTTTATGAGTCTGATCAATAGACATAAGTTGGTTTCCTTAAAGCTATGCATGTTAATACATAATAAATGCTCTGATTCTATTTATTGTGTGTTGTAGCTACTCAACATAGATTATCTACCCAGAGTTTTTTTTTAATCTGGACATGAATCTCTTATTCACTCTAAAATGTTGAATCTTCTTGCTGAAACACTTCTAATCAGGATTATTTCTATACATCAATGTTCATTAAGGTGCATTATAATATTGCAAATTGGTAGGCCAGTTTGTTTACTATGTTCTCTTGCTGGAATGGCAACTATACTAGTGTCCTCTTGATGTAATACAAAAATTAATATATAAAAGGAAATATATTGTATTATTTTATTTAATGTTTTGTGTACATCTGATTACATTGATGTCCAATTTTGCAGCTATTTCTAGAATGGACCATATAGGAGATATGTTAGGACTCTTGAACCTGAATTATTAATTTAATTATGGAAGTTGGTGAGCATAGTTATGGGGAACACAGTTCAAGGAAAGATATACCTATTTTAAAGATATTATTCTCCTTTGCGTTTTAAGATTATAAACTTGATAACTCAGGTAATTCATTGTGTCCAACACATTGTATAGCATATGGTTTAACAATAATTTGGATCAAATGATGAGTTTAAGGACCATTCCGGGGATCACTTACCCCTTCATTCAAATGCAAATCCAAACATTCAGTAGGCCAGCTCAAGTGACTTTTTACCCACACCACAAGTGGACAATGATTTGGCTCAATACAGAGCATTTAGAAGGTTTGATAAAGGCTAAGTTATGAGTGACATGTTGCCACTTGTCTGGTCCTTTGCCTGAAATATCTGTGGCAATACTTAGTCTGAACCACATAAATTTAATTAGCTGTCAACAAACATGGAACATAATGGATATCTTACTAACAGCCACCTTTATTTCAACAATACAATACTCTATGTATTCAAGTTCAACTGGTAGCTGTAACTTTTTAAAGTTCTTCTGTCATGTTAAAGCTGAATGCATAACCTCTATTTTATTTGTTTGACATTCTAGTTTTGAAACTTAAAGTGATGAATTAGGTGTAACACACAAGAGTCCAGGGGACTAGCCTTAACCAGGCCACTATATACTTGAGTGACACATATCATGGCTTTTTTTAGACACCCTCTACAATAACAATCTTAATTTTAAGGTGGATCTTTTCTTCCATCCAAAGGTAGAGCCAGCAAAGCTTCAACCTTGGGTTCTTTTTCAACCCCAGTGTAAAATGTCTTTGTTTGTTTTTTTCAGACATCCCCTTCAATGACAATCTTTTCAGGTGGCTGTTTTATTCCATCCAAAGCTAGACCCAGCAATGGTTCAACCTGGGGTCCTTCGTTAAGCCCAGGAACATATTAACCTTGTGGCCTTTTCAGACCTTTTGTCTGAGTTTTGCTGTACCTTTAAGCCACTACTATTTGATATCTATCTTCTAGAATGTTATAGTTTTGATAGTGGTGCTTTGCAGCTTAATAATTATAACATGAATACTTGTTGTAATTTTGAGGATATTATTGTGTTTCATTATGCCATCTAGGTTAGTAAGGAGTAGGAACAGAGGTATTTCATTGGATTGAACCTTACTCTAGCACACACTTAAAACTTTGAGTTTCTAAACAAAGAGCTATGACTTCTGCTAGTTAAGTCGAAGAGTGCTTGTAATGGCTACCCAGGTAGTAGCAGGGTATCAGCCGCTAGAGACGTCCTTTTCTTCCAGGCAAGTCGCTGTGTAGTAGTGGAGTTGCTTATTCCCATCCACTGGATCCAAGGCAAGAGTCAGGCAGAGCTCTTAAACGAGCTAGGTGATTAAGCTACATATCCCCTTTCAAGAACGAGACAAGGCTACATTTTGAAGGGTCAAGGAGAACTGAATTTTAGTGGCAGGTACTCTCCTTTTATGTGATTCAGCCCATGAAAGGGAGACACCCACATAATTAACACAACAACCAATAAAACATAAGGTACATCCCACACATCTCCTCCCCTCAGATAAGCCTGTAACCCAATTAACAAAGTCAAATTTTTCCCCAAGTTTTGGATGTACCCCAAATACCTATTCTGGGGGAACAACATATTAAAAAATCATCTCATTCGGTTCAGGGGTTCGGGGGATATGGCACTTTAAAGTTTTGACCAACCGCACAGGCACAATAGCCGAAAATAGTTCCATAAGTTTTGGCTTGCGGTCGGTCCTTGTTCGTGAGTTAAAAGTCCTGAAAGACTTGCCATCCGTGTGTAGCTTAACGTTCGCCAGAATCCCCATATGCTACTTAGCCTTTCTACCGAAAGGCAGGGCGTTCGGTAGTTTTGGCACGAATTTCTGGTACTATGGAGGTCTCAGCGGTGTTCGCCTGCTCGAGTGTCCGATTTTAGTTCTAGACACTCAACGGCAAAACACAGCTGTTCGGGAGTTAAGAGGGCTGCGGGCACATGTAAAAGTCCCGAAATGGCGGCCACCCAGGAACTAAAACAAAGCGTTCGTGTGTTTCCCATAAAGACTGTATTCGCTGATCAAGGAGGTAAATTACAGCATAACTAGGTAGCAGGGTGGTCTGTTGTTCGGTAGTTTGCATTCATATGATGAATGCAGTGTTTCTACCGTCTGGGTCTCACAATTGAGCGAATGCTTTAAAAGTCCCGAACTGCTGTATAGAAAAGGTAAGGATCTTCAATTTGTATCCAGCTTGATGTCCTTTTCTGAACAAACAATACATCCTTATAATCCGAGGTTTCTTTTCCTGTGTATGTGCCTGGCTAGCTCTTAAGGTAATAGCCAGTGTTTCCATGCACAGGGTAGGGTTTTGTTACAGTGCTGTTCTCACAAGAACAAAATACATTAAAATGTTGTGTAGAAGGTGTCATAGCACATGTTTTGCTTGGTCATAAGACTTGTTGAATACAAAAGCTATAGAAGTTTTAGTACATGAAAGCAGTACAGTTCTTGAGGGCTCTGGTTGAAAAAACTATTTTTTTAAACTATATTTAAAAGATTGTATATTCTAAACCATAGAAAGGAGGTTCTTTAAACAATTATTGTGTTAGCTCTTATTATATATAACATTATTGTGCTTAAATTGTACATGTTCTGTGTCAGCTGATGGAAAACATAGGTTTATTGAACATTGTGAGTCATCAACATCAAAAGCTAAGGCATCCAAGTTATCTCGAGCAATGCCTAAAATGGAAGCGTTCTTTTCCTTTCCACTGAAAGGAAACCTTGTCTGAGGACACTGCTTCCCTCATTGTTCTCACACAGCAGTCACAAAATGGAGTCTTAATCTTTATTTTGTAATATATGCTGGTAGCAGTCTATGAATGGCTGTTCCAAGATGTTCTTGATGCAGATTGCCTGATTAAGTTGCATTGATTTTTACACATTTTTGAGGTGCATGTTATTAATAGTTCTTCAACTGTGCTTTATTTGCTTATGTTATGCAAAATAAGTTTTCTCTGAAAAAAGCAAACATGATAACAGTAAAATTGGCTAAAAAACCATTGTAGCTGCTGGACATGGACATCTATTTATGCATATGCTAAGTGTTGATTGTCTACACATATCTAAATGTGCCATTATGCAGGCATATAAATATTAAAAGTTTTTTTTTTCTAGAATGCACCACCAAAAGTATTTTGCTTAGACATGTGGTATATGCCATTCAAGTATTTTATTGATAGGCAGTTTAATTATAGATAAAGAAAGACAATGGGATGTACTGAATTCTTCAGACTTCCTGTAATTTGCTGTTTCCTGAGATTAAACCTTTAACATGGAGAAGAAATCAGACACGAACATGCAAAAAACAAAATAGGCAAGGCCAAGGATTGGCAAATATTTATAGACTTTAAGAGCTTGACAGATGTACTTGGGAGTCAACCTGATCTATGTCTGTCTTTTTTTATGACAAGAGCCATAAAGACAGACTTATGAAAATGTCCTTCATACCTTGAAAATGATTTGTGTAATGTTTTTTAAGATAAGGTCTATCTACCAAGAGTAACAAAGGACTCATGGCTTCATATTTGCAAATCGGTTTCACTATAGCTTGATGGTTAGTTGGTAAACAACCATCTTGGAAAACAAAATGGTAATTTTAGATTCACCAGGTATTGTTGAACTGATTCTATCAAGATTCTACATGAGATTCAAGTGGGGGAAATTATGGAAATGTAAATAAGTCATTAGTATGCCAAGGTTCGAAACACCACCTCTGGGCACCGAAAAATCAACATCTTCGTGTACACACTGATAATATAGAATTGACACCATATGAACAATGTCGAATTTATCTAACCTTTGAGTGGGGGTGAGTTTGGCACTGCAACAGGGAGACAGTACCAGCACTCTAAGCAACATAACCACTTTAGAAAGCTTTAGTTACTTAGAGTGACCCCTTATGTCACAAATAACTATCTCCATTTGTGCTTGTAGGACCATAATGCTAGCTATGACACCAGGAAGACACAACATTCAAATACTGCAATGAATATAGAGATAAAAGAATGCATATTTTTATTTTATTTTTTTATAAAAAGAGACCTTGTAACACTGATGAAACCAAGGTAGTACCATGGGATTTCTTTTCATACTTTATTAGGCCTGCTTTATCATTGATACATTATATTTTGAAGCCAAAGCTATGATCAGTTTTGGTCTGAAGCAACAGATCATGTTCAAGACGAAAGAATTCCATTGCACTAAGCAGGAACAAACACAGAAACCAGAGAATAATGTGCAATATCCTCTTTCAACCTTCAGGCCCACTTAAATCATCTGCATTGACTGTGCAGTGAGTTGGATTGTTTTTCGTGTGCTTGAAATAAGGAGTGGCACAGCAAGTAAAGCTGCTTTACTTGAGCTTGTGCTGGCAATGGGACAATTATTTTGGACAGTAACGATTCTTGTGCTCTTCTGTAGGACAGTCTCACGTGTGAAAAAAACATATTGATTAAGTAGTCTCTAATAGTCCAGATATATGTGCAGTTGAGGTGCAGAAAACCGAAATATGATGGAAGAAGTAATCTTATATGAAGGATTTGCTTTGTTTAGATGATTTGTAAGGAATATTCATTAAATATAGAGTGCTCATTTAAATACAATGGCACACACATGGGTGAAATGAAACATTGACATGTTGGTTCATATTTTGGATGCCATGATGCTTGAATGCAAAAGGTCATCTTTTGTTTGATATCTACATGGCTGCTAATATGTGTTAAAATATGTATTTTCAATTTTAATATTAGACTCATTGATTTTTATCTGACTAGTAACACATTTCAGGGAAATCTACTAACCCTTGAAGTATGCCTGTAATTGCATTAGGTTTAAACCATGGTGAAAATATTCCAGGGAACTTTTTTTTTTTAGCTTTACGCAAGCCACTGTGGAGGTTATGGCTTAAATCAACATGTTAGTGGTTTCTAAAATATTTTCCTAATTGTATCTTAACATAATTACATATGTTCACAAATATCCACAGTTTAATATCCATGAGCTTGGTCAATGTTTAAAGTGAATTCAAAGTAGTGTTTAATTTAAAGTTTGGTATGATATTAAAATGCAACCACCAGCCTGAATTTATGTCTAAGTACCACTTTACTTAGCTACAAGAGGTATCCTGATTGGAAACCATGGCTTTCTTTGGATTGTTCTGAATATTCTTCATTTTTTTTTTAACTCCTGTTCACATAAGTCAAATAAATGTAGAGTCTATCAAGTAAGTATGATTTTTGAGAAGCTACTGTCCTTCAGGTTTTCTGATTTTGTTTCTGGCTACCTCTAATCAGTGCTGACAATGGTAAGCTTGAAAAGTAGTTGAAACACCATTTTAATGTAGCATATGAGTGCTCAACGTATCCCTATTCTCTTGAAGTCAATGACTTGGTCAACTGTCATACTGTATTCAATATTTGAGGTTAGGAATTGACATTTGTGGATGTGGTCTGTGTTCTGTCACAGCATAGTTTTCTTTAGATGGCATCTTGCATTGCGTATGCTCTTCTTCAGAACCGTACTTATTGGCATAAACATTTCTTGAGGAAAGAAGCCAAAATTATAAATGTATGTTCTTAACGAATATATCTTAACTGACTGCACATAAACAGAGAGTAGTAATTCTGTTTCTAAATTTGACTTTGTTTCATAATAAATTAATAATTAAGTTTGTGGAAATGTATGGGCCAATGTGATTTCTTCAAAATCTAATGTTTTGTTAAGGTTCTAGTAGATATCTAGGATGTTTTCAGAAGTAGGTACTCATGAAAACCTGTTATTCTTGTTCTAATACTAAAATAAATATGTAAATTAAAAAAGTATGTAAAGTTAGAATTAATTCTACCATATGTAAATAGTTAATACAATGTTATGTTGAACAGAGCGTCTCAATGTCAATTTCTCCAAATGGAAAGATATTCAATAGATAGTCGATGGAACAGGAGACTTATTCAACAGGTAGATTTGTGAAATGACAGCTCTAGGCTCTTGAGAGAAGACAGACCACCTCTATATGTACTGTGGTCTGTCAGAAAATTTAAATTGCAAAGATATAACATGTACTTTTTGACTTGGACCATTATCTGGGTATAATGTAAATATCTGAGTATTATGTAAATACCAATTTAGTTCTATTAAGAGGTATATGTGTAGGTATTCTATTGATTACTTTAGAACAAACCCATGTGATTGCACTGTTGGGCCTCTTCATAGCACGCTCTTTCACTAAATGTTTTCACTGCAAGGCCTGTTAAACATCTAACATATTTTTTTGAGTTTGTAGTTCCTCTTTAAGCTGACTCAGGAAGTTTTATTTGTTTCCAAGGTTTCCAAGTGAGAAATGTGTATATCATTTCCTTAATCTGTTAAAATAAATGGAAAATAATGTTCTTTCCTCTGGTATTTTTTCTAAATTTGCTGGTACAACTGAAAAGCGTATCGCCATGGATAGTCCATTGTAATGTGGGGAAATAGACCCCACCCCTACTACCACAAGAGTTACTGTTTTGATGATTATGAGAACCTTGTAGATGAAATTTGCTTGGGTTTTGTTCTAGGATCCTTTTTTGTCTTCATGTCATGATGAGATAAAACCATGTATTCATGCTTAAATGCACAAGAGTTTTTTTACTTTCTTTAGAGATTAATGTATTACATGACCACATAAGGGCCATCTGATTAACATAAAAAAGTATTGTATTGTTTACACTGGGGTAGTCCATCTGGTAAAGCCTTCAGTAGCTTGCATTAACAGAGCACTGAAATGGTGCCTTCAGATCTGCAATGTAAGCAGTTCTACATTCTACTGCTGTGACGCAGGAGATAATGTTGTTGAACAGTGTGGGGGTGGATCTGTAGTACAGGATGTGTAATGTCAACACGAAGCATTGAAGCTGGCAGCTAGAAGGAAAGCAGCCATTTCATGCCAGTGCAGGAAACCTAAAGTAGATACTGTCCTTCTTAAAATGATCTCCACTGTTTTGCAAGTATAGTCTTGTAAACATTGCTTGCCTGATTTGATTTCTTTTTTAATCTGAAAGAAATGTTTGCAATCTTTTCATGTTTTAAACCTACTATGTGTGTGAAAACATGAAAAAGGTAGGATGTTGAGGGACAATGACTCATCACCACCTTTTTATAGTTTCCCTCAAATTTTTCTACAAATCAACATGTTACTGGTTTTATTCTGGTATCAGTTTCTTAAATATCTATGAAGTCATGGTTTATTTTGGCTTTTATATTTTACATTATATCAAGTCTTTACATTTCTCTGTCCTTACGGTAGTGAATTTTTAAAAAATGATAACTGTGAAGTGGTAAAAGGCGAATAGACCATTATCTATTTGGCAATCCAGGACCATAACCATACCATAACTATTTTAATGTTGTTTTCTTAATCATTTTAGCTGTCTGAAAAATATTCCATGTCAAAATGTCTTCACCTAATTCATTTTTCTTCTACTACAATTATTTCTCTTTGTGTTTCTCAATACTGAAAGGACCACTCTCGCCCCGTAACAACTTGATCTCAATGATGTCTGGAGGTTCATGGGTTAAGCCATATCTGAGGGGTTTAACCATAAAGCTCTCTCAAAGGCACATGTCTGTTTAGCTCCTAGGCATCCTCCTCCTGCCTTGACTCCAAGGTGGAAGATTGTCACTTCGGTGCTGGTGATAGGCTTAGAGTGTCAGTAATAAACTCCATCATTGCATCCAATCAGCCATTGCCTCCAAATGTTTACAAGTTTCTCCTATTTACAAGTTAATCCAATTTATACAAACTCTTTTCTTAATCCTCAATAGTTCATTCCACTTTCTGATCTCACTTGGCCCCACCATTGACCTACTACTGATCTCACTAGATCTTTCATTGGTCCTTCCTCCCTACTAATGAACCTGTCACACAATTTCTACCAGTTCAATTTTATCTAGCTGATCTCATCTGATTCTGATGGCTGTGTAACTTCTGATATCTTGTGGATTTTTGCTGATAAATCTATTAGAAATGTTAAAGGTTACTTCATAACAACACCAATATGGGGTAACTGTGTTTATAAAGGGCTTTTATTTTATTTAGTGCATAAATATGCATAAATGTATAAACAATTATCATGTTTTCAAGTATGTATTGAAATGCACATGCAATGCATATTTAGAAGGTTACACATTTAATATACACAGAATGAAGATAACCATTAGCAGTTGTTATAGGTTTGTTTGTAGATTGAAACAGTTCTTTTCAGAGATTGTGGACCATTTAAAGGTTTTAGAAGGTTATTCCACAGCTGTGGAGCTCTGTATCAGTAGATTGCATGACTCAAATTCATGTTGTAAGAAGGAAGCGAGAGTAAGGAGGTGGAAGTTATCAGAGCTGTGGAGAGTGTTATGATCATGCGAGCTAACCAGGGAAGTGGCTATGATCCAGGTAAGATAAGTGAATGTTTGGATTAGTGTGTTGACCATTTCAGTCATTGTAACATATTGCAATGGCTGGCAGTGTAATCACATTCCAGGGCAACACACTATTGAGATGGATTTGTGGTGCAGATGTATGTACTCCACATAGTCAATGGTGATTGCAAGGCATTAACATTTGTTAATTTATCCATTTTCTTAGTAGCTAAAGAAATATTTTTGTTTCTGAATAATGTAAACATGAGGGTGGAGTTTAAATCAGGGTTGCTCCAAAGATAGATTTCCTGGCTGTTCTAGAACTTCAACTTGTAGAAGTACAATCCATAAGCGTTATGTGAGTTGTATCTGTACATCACATGGGGCTCTACCTTTTGTCCATCTTTGGTTCTGTTGGTATTTTATGAATACATATTTGCAGGTACTAACTAAAGTAAAATTACGGTTTGATAATATTGTAATATTGAATTGGGGGATTAGTTTAGAAAGTGGGTTTTGTTCCAAAGATCATTGTAACAGTTGTACCAGAATTTAAAAAAAGATTGTGATTATAGATCCATGTCTACATTTCAGTGAAATCATGTTGTAAAACAGCCTTGAGTTGTTTGATATGTTTTCTTTCTTGGAGAAACTTGGCAAGCTCCACATGCAATTTTGAGTTAGCTGAAACCATTGTTAGCAATGCATACTAATAGAAATGGAACAAGTGTACCGAGTTTTCACCTATGAGGTTTTGAGGTTGTTAAAGGACCACTATAGGCACCCAGACCACTTCAGCTTAATGAAGTGGTCTGGGTGCCAGGTCCAGCTAGGTTTAACCATTTTCTCTATAAACATAGCAGTTTCAGAGAAACTGCTATGTTTATAATATGGTTAATCCAGCCTCTAGTGGCTGTCTCATTGACAGCCGCTAGAGGCACTTACGTGCTTCTCACTGTGATTTTCACAGTGAGAAGACGCCAGCGTCCATAGGAAAGCATTGTAAATGCTTTCCTATGAGACTGGCTGAATGCGCGCGCAGCTCTTGCCGAAGAGGAGAGGAGGCGGAGAGGAGGAGGAGAGCTCCCCGCCCGGCGCTGGAGAAAGAGGTAAGTTTAACCCCTTCCTCTCCATCCAGCCCGGCGGGAGGGGGACCCTGAGGGTGGGGGCACCCTCAGGGCACTATAGTGCCAGGAAAACGAGTATGTTTTCCTGGCACTATAGTGGTCCTTTAACATCTGCATAGTTGCACTTGGGCACATTTCTTTTTCAAATATTTAAGAAAGTAGTGATATTTGTCTGTAGTTTGATGCTAAGGGTTTCACTCCAACTTTGTGGGTTGGTACAATTGTTACTGTTATCCAGATTTTATAGCACCAGAAAACAGAGACATGTTAACTAAGGATGCTCTGAGGCATGTTGTCAGTTAGTGGTACATTAAACTTGAGCACTATAATTGTTAACTGTCCTGACCTTGACTGGGACCTCATTTTGAGATTACTAGAGATGAAATTCAGGAGATGCTCAGTTATCTTGCAAATGAGCAGTGGCTTATAGTACATATACATTTGAATTACAAATGCATTAGTAGTGATAGACTGCCGTAAGGTTGGAGAAGTTTTTTCAGAGACTGATTCCAAGTCCTCAGTTTTATATTTGTTGTGAGGGAGAAGGCACACTCACCAGCGATTTTGTTTCACATGTTTGCTATATATATATATATATATATATATATATATAGTGAAGGGGTAGGAAACGTTCAGCACTCCAGATATTGTGGACTACATCATCCATAGTGTTTTTATGGCCATAATGCTTGCAAAGCATCAGGGGAAATGCAATTGACACAAATGGAGTGCCAAAGGTTGCCTTCCCCTGATATAGTGCATTTCATGGTTTTGTTGTCTGTCTTTTTGAGCTGAAATGTTTTGGGGAATATTTTATGTTATTGATATCATGACAATAGTTGTCCAGATTAGCCAGTCTAGGTTGCTTTGTTGCAGACAGTATTCAGTTTGTAAGAGGTGAAGTCATTCGGAGAGCACGATTGCCTAGATTTTACCATTATGAGGTTCTCTGAGCCTCTCTAATCTTCTTTAGTAGTGCATGGGTAAAACAGCCATATTGTGACTCAAATTCAAACCACAAACTGTTAATTAGAAGAGATCAGGTATGACGTTTAAACTTAAGGGTGACAATATATGAAGGGACTTTTTTTTTCTATTGGTAATTATATTATGTATTATTTGTATTCCCCATAGCTGTTATAAGAAGATGGTCTGGTAAAGGCAGCTAGGTTTTTTTCTCTTTGCGCTTTCATTGCTCTTAACTACCCCTTTACTTTTTAACTATTGATAGAACATTTCACATTTCATTTGACCTGCTTAAACATATAAACTGCATAGGAAATCTTAAGCACCAGCCCTTTGTAGTGGTGCTACAGGGAGTGCAGAATTATTAGGCAAATGAGTATTTTGACCACATCATCCTCTTTATGCATGTTGTCTTACTCCAAGCTGTATAGGCTCGAAAGCCTACTACCAATTAAGCATATTAGGTGATGTGCATCTCTGTAATGAGAAGGGGTGTGGTCTAATGACATCAACACCCTATATCAGGTGTGCATAATTATTAGGCAACTTCCTTTCCTTTGGCAAAATGGGTCAAAAGAAGGACTTGACAAGCTCAGAAAAGTCAAAAATAGTGAGATATCTTGCAGAGGGATGCAGCACTCTTAAAATTGCAAAGCTTCTGAAGCGTGATCATCGAACAATCAAGCGTTTCATTCAAAATAGTCAACAGGGTCGCAAGAAGCGTGTGGAAAAACCAAGGCGCAAAATAACTGCCCATGAACTGAGAAAAGTCAAGCGTGCAGCTGCCACGATGCCACTTGCCACCAGTTTGGCCATATTTCAGAGCTGCAACATCACTGGAGTGTCCAAAAGCACAAGGTGTGCAATACTCAGAGACATGGCCAAGGTAAGAAAGGCTGAAAGACGACCACCACTGAACAAGACACACAAGCTGAAACGTCAAGACTGGGCCAAGAAATATCTCAAGACTGATTTTTCTAAGGTTTTATGGACTGATGAAATGAGAGTGAGTCTTGATGGGCCAGATGGATGGGCCCGTGGCTGGATTGGTAAAGGGCAGAGAGCTCCAGTCCGACTCAGACGCCAGCAAGGTGGAGGTGGAGTACTGGTTTGGGCTGGTATCATCAAAGATGAGCTTGTGGGGCCTTTTCGGGTTGAGGATGGAGTCAAGCTCAACTCCCAGTCCTACTGCCAGTTCCTGGAAGACACCTTCTTCAAGCAGTGGTACAGGAAGAAGTCTGCATCCTTCAAGAAAAACATGATTTTCATGCAGGACAATGCTCCATCACACGCGTCCAAGTACTCCACAGCGTGGCTGGCAAGAAAGGGTATAAAAGAAGAAAATCTAATGACATGGCCTCCTTGTTCACCTGATCTGAACCCCATTGAGAACCTGTGGTCCATCATCAAATGTGAGATTTACAAGGAGGGAAAACAGTACACCTCTCTGAACAGTGTCTGGGAGGCTGTGGTTGCTGCTGCACGCAATGTTGATGGTGAACAGATCAAAACACTGACAGAATCCATGGATGGCAGGCTTTTGAGTGTCCTTGCAAAGAAAGGTGGCTATATTGGTCACTGATTTGTTTTTGTTTTGTTTTTGAATGTCAGAAATGTATATTTGTGAATGTTGAGATGTTATATTGGTTTCACTGGTAATAATAAATAATTGAAATGGGTATATATTTGTTTTTTGTTAAGTTGCCTAATAATTATGCACAGTAATAGTCACCTGCACACACAGATATCCCCCTAACATAGCTATAACTAAAAACAAACTAAAAACTACTTCCAAAAATATTCAGCTTTGATATTAATGAGTTTTTTGGGTTCATTGAGAACATGGTTGTTGTTCAATAATAAAATTAATCCTCAAAAATACAACTTGCCTAATAATTCTGCACTCCCTGTAGAAGGCTACAGGCATAGTCCTTTCGTTTTGAGTCAAACCATTTTTTTTGAACAGTTTGACTCAAACCAAAGGTCCTCGAAGCTCCCATGACCTGGTTCTTCATATGACGTGTACTTAGTGCAGGAGTTACACTTCATCCATATTTGGACAGCAGGGGTAGGCTGCGCGTGTCAACTGAAAGATAGAACATTTCAAAGATAGCACATTTCATCTGAATGTTTTTTGTTAAATTTAAAAAAAATATATGTACTTAGAAGGCTTAATAACTTTTACTGTCTTTGACTTCAACATTGATGTTGTGGAATGCAATCTGTTGTCTGTCAGATTTATTTCTGCTTTAGCTCAGTGTCATTTTACCTTCTGGGGAAAATGAAGATAAGATCAGTGATACATTTTTCACAGGTTGTAGACTGTGGCAGTATAACCGATTATTATTCCCACTGCTGATTTTTTGTCACTCCCACCCATGCTATTCTGGTGGCTTCTCGCTACATATATAAAAAAATATGTGCTAATATTTTAAAGGAATTCTGTGTTTTTGCAAGTTTGGTTCTGGAAATAATGTAATTCCCATTTTAACTTATACTGTATTTCTTATTTAAAGTGAACAAGTAGTTGTACCCATGACAGGAATTAAATACCATATACCAAACGTTCCTTTTTACTAAAATAAACCAAACTTTAATCTGTAGTGCACCTTAACAATATATATTGAATTTTTTTAAAAACCTGTGATGAAAATAATGTAGTTTTAAAACGCCTGATGAGAAAGCTTGGAGTTTGGCGTGAAATGTAAAACATACTTCCATATTTGTGCATAAACATATATATTATATATGTGTGGTGCGCAATAATTGCATAAAATTATTCAGCAATGCCCCGTTTGTGTTATAAATTTCTAACATATTCAGAATTTTTTATGTCTGAAAAATGTGTACAATTAACCTATAGGGATTCATGACAATAAGAATGGTTTTGAAGGATGTGCTTGGTAGTAAGGTTTCTTCACTCTAAGCATTATCATTACTGCAACTTATTGAAGCGGGTATGGTGCCAGGAAGCTATGGGGCCTTCAATTTTTAAATGGCTTGACAAAAAGGAAGTATTTCTGCATTGCAAAAACCATTCACTCAACTTACGATGATGTCATACTGTAAAAATCTCTTTATCTTTGCTTGCACTGGATTGGGCGGATTATGGATATTTCCTCATTACGGAATTGAAGGTTGACTAGGTGGACATTGGGTGCAGGGAATATCTAAGATCTGAATCAGAGAGATTGCTTCCTAGCACCATCACAATATAACAAGCTGTACTGGTTGCTTTAATGATTGTGATGGTTCCATGCTATATACCTTTTAGAACTAACTTTTTGGTTAGAAGTTAGTCATTTTTCAGTACTGGTTCTATTAGAATCTATTATAGAAAAAATATCTCCAAAAATAGAAAGGAAACTAGCAATTGCCCATATAATTTACTTTTTAGTAAAACTATGCAAACCTGTATGAGAAAAACAGGTGAACATACAGGTGTATGTCTTGAGTGGAAAGGATTTGCATAGACTGGGTATAAATGTTAAAGGAACACTCTAGCTTAAAGCATTTATTATTGCCACCTACCACTGGTGGCTACCCCAGAGCATTAAACAAGGTAAGAAAATAAAAAGGTAATATGGCTATATATGTATTTTTCTAGGTAAAATATACACTCATTGAGTAAAGTTAAATTTAGGGTAGTCTTAAAGTCTGTCTTACAAAGAATAACAAGATTGGAAGAAGGGTCTGAGACATATGGAATGACAGTAAACTTAAAATATGCAGTGAAGCAAAAACAGTGGATATAAGAAATCTGAGAACAGGCAAAAGTTCATAGAAATGCAATAGCTTGCCCTTTGGTTATTCCCCCTCCAGTTCTAAAAATAGTTTTTGCTCTCTTGTGCCATTACATAGAGAACCAATACAATTTGCATATCAGACTGATGCCAACCACAAGGGCAGTCCAGATCCAAATGCCAGCAAGTTCCCTATGCACCAGAGATACAGTAACCCAGGATGATTGTAGAAAGTTGTAACTAGTTACATAGCTGAAAAGAGACAGGCATCTGTCAAGTTCAGCCTTTCTCACATTTGTTTTTGCTGTTGATCCAAAAGAAGGCAAAACAAATATTTTGTAGTGCTTCCAATTTTGCAACAAACTAGGATGAAATTCTGTCTTGACTCCACAATGGCAGTCAGATATCTCCTTGGATCAAGAAGCTACTACCCCACTAATTAAAAACGATATCCCTCTATATTATGTTTTTGTAGGTATTTATCCAATAGCTGTTTAAACATCTGTATGGACTCTGATAAAACCACCTCTTCATGCACAGAATCCCATATCCTTATTGCTCTAACTGTAAAAAACTATTTCCTGTGCCTTAGACTAAATCTCCTTTCATCCAGCCTAAATACATGACCTTGTGTCCTATGTATAGCCCTGTTTATGAATAGATTTCCAGACAATGGTTTGTATTGACCCTGAATATATTTGTATAATGCTATTATATCCCATCTGAGGTGCTGTTTTTCCAAACCAAAGAGATTTAACTTTGTTAACCTTTCTCCATAACTAAAATGCTGCAATCCTTTTATCATTTTTGTAGCCCGCCTCTGCCCTTTTTCTGGTGCCTTAATATTCTTCTTTAGAACAGGTACCCAAACTTGCACAGCATCTTACTAGTGATTTAAAAAGAGGCAAAATTATATTTTAAAATTGAGAATTAATGCCCCTATTTATACATGATAATACCTTACTGGCCTTAGTAACTGCCAATTGACATTGTATATTGCCTAGTTTGTCTAGAGGTGATACTCGAAAAATTAGAATATTGTGGAAAAGTTCATTTATTTCAGTAATGCAACGTAAAAGGGGAAACTAATATGAGATAGACGCAATACATGCAAAGCAAGATAGTTCAAGCTGTAATTTGTCATTAGTGCGATGATTATTGCTTACAGCTCATGAAAACCCCAAATCCACAATCTCAGTAATTTAGAATATTACATGCAATCAATAAAACAAGGAGTGTACATAGAACAATATCGGACCTCTGAAAAGTATAAGCATGCATATGGACTCAGTACTTGGTTTGGGCCCCTTTTGCAGCAATTACTGCCTCAATGCGGCATGGCATGGAAGCTATCAGCCTGTGGCACTGCTGAGGTGTTATGGAAGACCAGGATGCTTCGATAGCGGCCTTCAGCTCTTCTGCATTGTTCGGTCTCATGTCTCTCATCTTTCTCTTGGCAATGTCCCATAGATTCTCTATGGGGTTCAGGTCAGACGAGTTTGCTGGCCAATCAAGCACAGTAATCTCACTGTCATTGAACCAGGCTTTGGTGATTTTGGCAGTGTGGGCAGGTGCCAAGTCCTGCTGGAAAATGAAGTCAGCATCCCCATAAAGCTCGTCTGCAGAAGGAAGCATGAAGTGCTCCAAAATCTCCTTATAGACGGCTGCGTTAACCCTGGACTTAATGAAGAACAGTGGACCAACACCAGCAGATGACAAGGTTCCCCAAATCAACACATACTATAGAAACTTCACACTGGACTTTAAGCATCTTGCAGTGTATGCCTCTCCATTCTTCTTCCAGACTTTGGGTCCTTGGTTTCCAAATGAGATGCAAAAGTTGCTCTCATCAGAAAAGAGGACTTTGGACCACTGAGCAACAGACCAGGCCTGTTTTTCTTTAGCCCAGGTAAGACGCTTCTGACATTTTTTGTTCAGGAGTGGCTTGACAAGAGGAATACGACATCTGTAGCCCATGTACAGGATCCTTCTGTGTGTGGTGGCTCTTCATGCACTGACTCCAGCCTCAGTCCACTCCTTGTGAAAGTCCCCAACACTTTTGAATGGGCTTTTCCTGACAATCCTCTCCAGGCTGCAGTCATCCCTGCTGCTTGTGCACCTTTTTCTTCCACACTTTTCCCTTCCACATAACTTTTTTATTAATGTGCTTTGATACAGCACTTTGGGAACATCCAACTTCCTTCGCAGTTACCCTTTGAGGCTTTCCCTCCTTATGGAGGGTGTCATTGATGGTTTTCTGCACAACTGTCAGGTCAGCAGTCTTCCCCATGATTGTGATTCCTACTGAACCAGACTGAGAGACCATTTAAAGGCTCAGAAACCCTTTGCAGGTGTTATGGCTTACTTAGCTAATTAGAGTGGGACACTGTGAGCCTAGAATATTGCACCTTTTCACAATATTCTAATTTACTGAGATTGTGGATTTGGGGTTTTCATGAGCTGTAAACCATAATAAATTCCCTTATGACAATCACGGCTTGAACTATCTTGCTTTGCATGTATTACGTCTATCTCATATATTAGTTTCCCCTTTTTACGTTGCATTACTGAAATAAATGAACTTTTACACGATATTCTAATTTTTCGAGTATCACCTGTATAACAATTCCCAAATCCTTCTTGTGTGTTGTTATCCCTAATTCACTACCATTTAGGTTGTAAGTTCCTTGTGCATTCTTTACCCCTAAGTGCATAACTTGCAGTTTTCTACATTAAATTTCAACTGCAATTTGAGTGCCCAGTCCCTCTATCTATCTAAATCCCTCTACAGCAAAGCAATATCCTGTTTACATTGTATTACTTTACAGAGTTTTGTGTCATCTACAGACACTGAAACATGGCTTTCAATGCCTATTTCAAGATCATTTATAAATATGTTCAATAGAAGCGGCACGTAGCACTTTTGTCTAGCTTGAAAATTTACCATTAATGACAACTCGTTGTACTCTATCTTTAAGCCAATGTTCTACCCAAGAACAAGAATTTTCACCAAGACCAATTTCTTTTATTGTGAATACTAACCTATTGTGAGTAACCGTATCAAACGTTTTGGCAAAATCCAAGTAGATCACATGCACGGCAACGCCCTGATCTATACTTTTACTTACTTCTTCGTAGAATGCAATTAGATTAGTTTGATATGACCTATGTTTCATAAAACCATGCTGATAATGTTCTTCCCAATGAATTCCTGAATGTTATCCCTTAATAACCCTTCAAATACATTCCCAGCCACAAAAGTTAAGATAATGCATTGAAGCAAAAATAAAAAATATGAGAAACTCAATAGTATGCCCTTCTTTAACCCTTGCTCAGGTCTCAAAATAGTTCATATATGCAGTAACTGCCTTGTTGGTATATTTAATATATGTGTAATTCTGTAAGTTTGAAAGGAACACTCCAAACATATAATTTATATCCAATGCAATTCCCCATAGTGGCTATGGTGCCAGGAGTGCAAAAAAAACAACTTTATATAAATGTACATGTATACAATTTTAGAAACTGGATGTCAAATCTGGGGAATCTAGGCCCCTGAAATCTTCAAATTTTCCAAGAAAACCAAAGATGAGTAAACAAGGTGGAATATCAATTACAATTTTATTCCATACTGATTATCCTCATGGGAACGTTTCATTCCTGTGTGGTCATAGATATCTGGAATGTCCCAAACATGTACAAGAAATCATATGGCAATATTATTTGGTTATTTAGTCAGCTTCTGTTGACATGGGTCTTTTATTGCTAATAGTTGCCCGTTTATAGTTAATTCCGGTCATATCAACAGAGAAATGAACAGGAAACCAGCTTTCAATGGTTTCTGTCAAGTTATTTAGTACAGAAAAGCCACATCCTTTACTAACACGATAAACAAAGTGGACATAGCCTTCTGTGGAATAATATTATTTTGTATTGTCTTGGCAGTCTCAAATTTCACATACATCATTTATATGTCATATTTTAAAAGTGTTGCTACTTACATATGATGGTATCAAGTACAATTTAAGTATTCTCTGTTTGGCAGGATTGTATGTTTATCCCTACTGAAGATTACTCATGTATTTGGGGAGAAAGTAGTATGTGGTATTCCAGTTTAATTCATGACTTAAATTGTCACTGAACTATTTTGTACACCATGTCCAGTACCATAACACTTTTATCTACATACTGTGCTGGAAATTTTGTAGAATGCAGGTGAAAGGGGGTTTAATTTGCTCCTGTGTCTTAGCATAGAACATGACTTGAAAGAATGCAGAAAATGAGTGCATGCGACATTTGTACACAATGGGAGTTATGAGTAATTCTGGGGCAAAGTTCTAAAAGTGGAGTGATCTACAGAAACATTCCTTTGGTTTTCACTTTTAAAACTTTGCCCCAAAATGACACAAAACCATTATGTATGACAATTGTAAGACTGTGCATATCCCTCAATTCCTTGCACACAATGGTTTCAGTTGATTAAAGTAGTTTGTATGAAGAAAAAAGCCTTTTAAACAGGCTAATTGCACCGATGTTTTTTCATGAATGAAATCACCCATGGTTGTACATTCTCAGGATTACTAGTGACCTAAAATGCTTAGCTGCAGAGCTACTCAAGGATTATATAACTTGAGAAAAACAGGATAGTTGTATAAACCAGACCAGGCATGTTGGGAGGTGAGATAGTCAAATATGTAAACTCAGGCAAGTGTAAAGAGGAATAGGCTATGGTCAATGGTATATAAAGGTACACGCCAGTGAGAAGACAAGGTCAACAAGAATACAAAATAGAGAATAGTCAAGGACTAGCCAAAATAATAAAAATAAAAAAAAGGATAAACATACAACATGCTCTTGAATACCAAAAAAAAAGCAGAAAAGCAACAGAGTAATGACGTGTCTGTGGTGTGGATGAACATAGGCGTCAGGGATCCTCAGTGGCTCCCATCATAATTATGAATCCAAAACATTTGTGTACGGAGTTGCATAAATAATGCATCAGACCTTGTGTCAGAAAACTGGTGCCGGTATGGAGCACCATAAAAGAAAACATCAACCTGCACTTGACATGATACGAGAACACAAGGTGGCATAAGTATTGTTAATTTGATTGGTAAGCACTCTTAGCAGCTCCATCCATTTGAAGGCTATTTGCTGAGGAGAAGACCCATCTTTAAGCAAAAATCCCTCCAGAATTTAGAAACATATTGGCTAACTCTATCAGAAAATATTTCTTTTTGAATGACATGCAGTCTAAACCCATCTCTGGGTTTATCTTTGCCCATTCTGAGGAGGTGGGTAGCTTAGGCAAAGAAACAAAGTGTGTCATCTTTGAGAACCTACCAATTATCATGAAGGTAACATTATTTTGTTGGCATTCAAAACTGCCACTTCCTTGTGAGGGCAGAAGTTTTGTGATTTCCAGACGGCCAGCTGCTTTACTGGAGTGGTACAAAGACAAAGCTATTTCTACCTAATATCTCTTGTGTGTCTCATAAAGTATGAGCTTGTCTGAGCAGGACCTTCTTCACTTCTTGTCTCTGTTCATTTTTGGATGTCAAGGACTTGTCTCACATCCCCATTATAAAATTCTCAAGCATTGTTGAATATGTTGACACTATATAAGTGCAAATAATTATAAAAATTTCAGAAGGTTCCATACTCTATTTAACAAGAAGCATTGCAGCTTGCATCGGACTGGATTGGATTTTTTCCAATAATGACAAATTTTAAAAACAGCTAAAATTTTTATGTTGTAATAACTTTTTTATTGGACTAACAGAATTTTTAAAAAGGTATTACAAGATACGAATTGTATCTGTTTTTTACATCTACATCACTTTTCTAATGCGGCTACTGTCTCTACTTGAACATTAATGAAAAAGAAAGAGTCAAGGTATTATTGGCTATAAATCTTTGCTTTGGTGTAATAAAACTGATGTCTTGTTCTTCTGAATCACATGGTTTATACTGTTTGGAGAGAGCATCTGACTTTGCATTATGAGCTCTAAGTTGATATGTTAGGCCATTGTTAAACCAGCAAAGTACCAAAGACCACCATGCCTGTCTGGATGATAAGTCCTTGGTTACCCTAATATACAAGTTCTTGTGATATGTCAATATCATAAGTTGAACTACAGAATCTTTGAGTAAGTGTCTCTATTCTTATTTTATGTGTATATATATATATATAGGGACAGTGCCCTATACCATTAGGAATACAAGATTGTACTCCTAACGCTATAGTGTTCCTTTAAACAGTATCTGTACTGCCTATGCATGTGCAAACATGTCCTAACTATGGTCCATGTCTCAGTTCAGGCGTCTCAAAAATCTAGTTGTTGCTGCAGGCTCCTAAGGAAATTGTGATATCATGATTAGCAGAGACCTAAAATGCAGATATTAGTGGCAACACTACACAAGAATGATATACATAGAGAAAAATAGGTTGGTAGCATATTGGAACTTAGGGGTCAGATTTAATATGGTGCTTATAGGGAAGCAAAGTAGCCAAATTTGTGAATACAGTTAAAGGGACACTATACTTACCTGAATCACTGTAGCTTAATGTAGTGGTTCTGGTGTCTATAGCAGTGGTTCCCAAACCAGTCCTCACTATTAGTATTGTTATTGGTGTTTATATGGCGCCAACGTATTCCGCAGTGCTTAACACCAACAGTCCAGTATTTATGTATTTCCCTGTTTTATACCAATGGAGATACTGACAAAACCTGGACTGTTGGTGGGTCTTGAGGACTGGTTTAGGAAACGCTGGTCTATAGCATGCTCCTGCAGTCTTAGCACTGTAAATACTGCCTTTTCATAGAAAAGGCAGTATTTACATTGCTGCCTAGGAACACCTCTAGCAGCAGTCACTCAGGTGTCCACTAGAGGTGCTTCCTAGTCCAGTGTTGCACAGTGTGGAGCATTTTATCTTTACAAAGGCACCTGTCAAGAAGTGGCATATTTTAGGCTGTGAACAGTGATTTCTTAAATTTCCTGTGTTGGAAACAGGAAATATGAGCAAGCAAAAAGATCTGAGTGACTTTGACAAAGACCAAATAGTGATGACTAGACAGTCAGAGCATCTCTAAAACAACTAGTCTTGGTAGGTGTTCCTGGTATGCAGTGGATAGTACCTACCAAAAGTGCTGCAAGGAATGACAACCGGTGCACCAGCATCATGGTCATAGGTGTCCAATGCACATTGATGCACGTGGGGAGAAAAGGCTAGCTCGTGTTATCCATTTACACAATAAGAGGGCAGGGTGGTGAGAGGTAGTGCTATGCTCTGGGCTATGATGGGAACCTATTTGTCCTGGCTACTTTGACACATCCCACCAACCTAGAGATTGTTGCAGACCACGTACCACCCTTCATGGCAATTGTGTTACCTGGTGGCAGAAGCCTCTTTCAGAAGGATTATGAACCCTAGCACACTGCAAAAATTGTTCAGGAATGATTTAAGGAACATGACGAAGAGTTCAAGGGGTTGCCTTCGCCACAAAATTCCCTAGATCTCAATGTGAACATCTGTGAGATGTGCTGGAACAAATCTTACCCATGGAGGACTCACCTTGCAACTCACAGGATTAAAAGGAGCTGCTGATAATGTCAGATACCATAGAACATGTTCAGATGTCTTGTGGAGTCCATGCCTCGACACATCAGTACGAGGGGAACCTGCACGCTATTGTGCAGGTGGTGTTAATATTGTGGCTGATGAGTTTATTACACAAAAGCAAGTAGACAAGCCAAAGATCCATATAGATACATAATAATTGAGGAATAGCTGGTCGGATGCCAATAAACATGAAATCTGCTCTTGGATACCAAAAGAAAACAGGGCAATGATTTGTACATAGTATGAGTTAATGTCGAAACATAGACTACACCAGACTTCTGAATGTGTTCTGTGGTATCTGGCACCAAGACATTAGCAGCCTTTTAGTCCTGTGAGCTGCGAGGTGAAGCCTCCATGGGTAAGGTTTGTTCCAGCACATCCCAGAGATGCTCACATCTGGTGAATTTGGAGGCCAGGACAATACCTTGAGCTCTTTGTCATGTTCCTCAAACCATTCCTGAACAATTCTAGCAGTGTGTTAGGGTGCATAATCCTTCTGAAAGTGGCTTCTGACACCAGGGAACACAATTACATGGTCAGCAACAATATCTAGGTTGGTGGGTTGTGTCAAAGTCGCATCCTCAATGGTTGGTTTCATAATTGTGACTCCAAAATGTTTCTGTATGGAGTCATATAGGTGATCAGACCTCACAAATTACATAAGTATGAAATACCACGTAAGGACACAGATGGTTAACATCTGGCAGTACGCACAAGGGTATAACACTGTAATGGCTCCTGGCAGATGAGGTGCCAGGAACTGAACAAGGCCAACAGGAAAAGGCAGATACAAGGAACAGCTTCAGACAAGTAAACATACCTTTCAATGCAATCCATACTCAACAGAAAAAAAAAAACAAATATGCAAAGACCCTCAAAAGTGACAGATTCACTTTAATGGTATTTGGTAAACATGCTTCTAGGTTTCCATATGGTTTATGTGCCTTTATTTTAGGCTTAGAAAACTAGTTTTCAGTGATTGAATCATAAGAACCTAGTGGTCCTGGTGGCTGAAAAAAAAAAATGATGGACATTAGTATGTTCAGTGCACCCTATAAATGGTGTGTGTACATTATTTTTTTAAGAGGACACATTTTAATTATGTCACATATAATAGACTTTGTTGAGAATAAGGTATGTTAGTAGTCTCCTTCAGTTCATTGTAAATTAATAACTAATTTGAGAACATTGTTTATCTAGAGCACATCCATGTATAGGCTATATGTGAAAGTACCTAAATAGTTTCATATCTAGCTTTGCATATAGACTATACCTCAAAAATCATGTTTATTCCATTATTTTGTTCCTCAGTTTGTAGTGTGTATGTGGTTTTGTTTTTCTCCTCTCTCTACAAATGTTAAAAGCTGTTTTTCTAGGTAGGTTTTGTTTCTCCACTGATATACAATGGAGCTTTCAGAGAACCTTTTATAAAAGGATAGCTGGAGTCTTTGTGTTGAAGGGTGTGCCTGTTGGCAGGCTTTGCTGATGCAGACAGGCTGGCTGGTGATTAACAAAGGTCATTAGACTTTGGAATCTAGCAAGCAGTCAGATGGTTTGTCTTCTCTCTTTAGAACTCCTAATAGAACAGAAGTAAGTAAGATGCAGTTGTCTTAATTTAGGTTAAATTCTGAACTCTTCTATAACTCCAGAATAGGATGAAATCTAAAACAAAAACTGTTTTGAAATGACTTACAAACTTTTCATGTTTGAAAGAAACAAGAGGGCTGGGGATATTTTCCAGAACATGCTCTGAAGTTCAGCTCACTCTGCAAACTGAAAAAAAAAATGTACTTGGGGCACCAAGAAATGGTTAAAATCTTGCTGTGAACATAAATGTGCTTGCTGTATGTATCTAAAGCTGCTTCTCTCAAATACACAAAGGACTTGAGATATCTGTAGGAACTATGTGCTCTTGTTCTTTGCTGGTCTGGAGCCATGTTGTGCTGAACTGAGGCTTCAAGTGCCTGTTTTCTGTGAGGTAAAATGGCTGCTTCTAAAGCTCAGAGGAGTAGGACTGCATTGTGAAGCCTTACAGCTTCTCTGACGCAGGATCTCCTATCTGCTGATTGTGTGACAAAAAAAACCTTCAGCAGAGCTGTGCCTTGTTTGGCTGAGATGAAAGGACTAAGCTTGGGGGATGGGAAGAGAAAAACTGGATGATCTGCTTTTCTGTGAAGTGCTTTGAATGCAGGAGTCATCTGCACCATGGAAAAAAAAAAAAGCTTTGAGATGTAATGGACTGTGCTGAAGAGACATAGGGTGGGGCTTCTGTTGCTGCTGTAATATGATCTACAGCAGATAGCAAACTCTTCCACACACTCCAGTCTTGTGCTCTGAAAGAAGAGCTTCTAGTATCTTGATAACTGCAGCTTGGTTTTAAAAGTAATCTAGTACAAAGATCATGTTGATGGAGGTGGGAGGACAAGCTGTAGCTTAGGTAAATATCTCTGTGTATGAATTCAGTCTTTCTTTCCAGAGGTCTGTTGCAAGCAGCCAGGAATGAGGTTCATGCATTTTTGTGAAAATTCTTGATATAATGACCACTTGTTATTCTTTCTGTATATAATTTTGCTATTGTGAAACCTAGCTATAGCAGATTGAAATGAAAGACACACACAAGCTCAAAGAAGATCCTACACTTTTAAAGTATATTCACATTGGCATATAGCATTCTTACATTTCAGATCATCACTCTTCAGCCACCCACACCCAAAATAAGCTACAATTTGGAAAAACATAAGAATTTATGCATTTTGTTTCATATAGCAGAATCTACTGTAACTGGCTTTCCCCTAACTTAACCGTCCCCCCACCCCCATGTGCTGTTTGTTTTTGTGTCTGTGGCAGAAAGGGTTGTGGAAGAGTCTGGAATGATGAGTGAGGTTGTGAGAACAATGTGCCTTTGTCAGATCTAGAACGCTAATTTGCATAATTATTGGGACCCTATAAAGCATTAATTGTCTTTGGTTCTTAACGAGCAGGCTTGTTTTATTATATTATGGCTACAGCAAAGAAGAGTCTAATATGATTGTTTTAGCTAAAATTGAATATTATTTGTGTGCAGCTAATATTTTCTGGTGGTTTGCTTATTTGGCATCTAATTATAATGTTCTAGACTGTATATGTAATTGGTACTCCTACTATTACTGCTCTTATTCTATATTATTATTTTGTGTTTGTTTATTTGTTTCACTAATTCCCAGTTGTGCTTGCATACCTATGAATGCAAGATGTAGCTTACAGGTTTTGGAAAGGTGGATCCTTTCTCTATAAACTTTAACATCAAGTAAATATTAGCTACACAGAGATGAATACAGTAAATGGCTGTCTGGGTACATGGGTTAAACAAATTCCTTGGACTTCTTGAAGACCCATTCTCCTGTTAATGTATTTTCTTAGTACCGATGTTCATCACAATATTCAGCCATGGTCCACTTCCTAAAACTTTAAGGTTTTTGTATAATTTTAACAACTAGAGTAGTATGCTTGCGTAATACATTCCAATAGTCATTTGACATATTCCATCCAGTGTAGTAGCATGTCTATGGTTTTTGTTTTGTTTTTTGCTTGGGTGGAGATTGGGTAGGTGGGTACTTTTAACCTGTATATAACTCAAGGTTTTATTTCTTCTCTGTATTTCAGAATTTCCTAATGTAAAAACATAACCTAAGACCATGGAGGTTCTTCAGTGTGATGGCTGTGACTTCAGAGCCCAGTCCTATGATGACCTAAAGGCTCACATTCAGGATGTACATACTGCATTTTTGCAACCCACAGATGTAACGGAAGAAAGTTCTAGTCAGAATAGATCTGTGGGTACGAGTTCTAACACCCAGTCAGAAGGCGTGTTCTCTTCAGTTAAAGATGAATTCATGTCAACAGAAGAAAATCATGGTGGGTTGAATTTTACTTTTTAGCCCCAATCAATTTATGTGAGGTTCTTGTTCTATTATAACATGAGATCAGCCAAACACCTCCAATTTGTATTTAGTTGATAAGTACATATTTGCACATGTTTGTAAATTATGTATTACTCCATTGTTTGTGTAACATTTCAAAATAGAAAAAAAAAAAAACTATCAGGCTTTTTTTCTCTTCTTAAGCAGTTTTGTATGGTGCTGGGCTTATGATGTTTCTAAGGAAAATAAATATACAAATATTGTGTTGGGGTACTGCTTACACAATTGTTTTGCTTTCTCATTTCAGGGCCAAGTGCTTCTCAAGTTACACCTGGATCATATTATAGCCATAACACTGGTTTGTTTGGACAGTCAACAGCAGCAAACACCAAGCCAACCAACAAATTTTTCCAGTGCAAGTTTTGTGTTCGTTATTTTCGATCCAAAAACCTCCTTGTGGAACATACTAGGAAGGTTCATGGCCATGGCGGTGGAAGTCAATCACCTGGATCTTCAAGCTATAATATTATGATGCATGATGGCTTTGGGAAAGTATTCTCTTGTCAGTTTTGTACGTACAAGTCACCCAGAAGAGCAAGAATAATTAAACACCAAAAAATGTATCACAAGAGTAGCCTAAAAGAAACTAATACAACAGCAGCTTCCCATGCAGCATCAGTTCCCATGCAAATCCAAGAAGCATGTAAGGAACTTCCTGCAGAAGTAGTGGAACGTAGCATTCTAGAGTCAATGGTAAAACCTCTAACAAAGTCCAGAGGGAACTTTTGTTGTGAATGGTGCAGCTATCAGACACCACGAAGGGAGCGCTGGTGTGATCATATGATGAAAAAACATCGTGGAATGGTCAAAATACTATCAAGTTTAAGACAGGATGGGATGAACATGTCTGAGCTACATAATAAAACTGCAATTGTTTCCAGTCCAGGTACAAGCTTTATGCCTCTAAATATAGGAACACCTGATCTAACTAATGCTAACATGCCAAGTTACAGGGGCCCTATAAATAATGCACTTCCCAGAGACAATTCTCCAAAATATCCATCCATGTCATATGTTCCTATTAAACCAAAACCTTCTTCAAATGTAGGCATTATGAATTTGTCAGACAGGTCACCCTATGGAATTCCAGATAAGTCAAATTCTGTAGTTGAAATGGATAATAATAGCATGCTTAATGATTCTAGTTCTGATGAAGATTACATTGAACTGGATAGTGAAAATGGTTTTGGGTCATTGGATCATCCAGGATTATCTGGAGAGCCATTACTGGGATCAGAAAATAACAAGTTATTGGAAACAAAAGGAATTCCCTTCAGAAGATACATGAACAGATTTCAATGTCCCTTCTGTCCTTTTCTCACCATGCACCGGCGTAGTATTTCTCGTCATATTGAAAACATTCATCTGTCTGGAAAAACTGCTATTTATAAGTGTGATGAATGCCCATTTACTTGCAAAAGCCCTTTAAGGCTTGGGGCACACAAGCAGTGTCATTCTGGTACATCACCTGAGTGGGATTCTGTTAGCACCCTGAACGAAAGTATGCCTTCATCCTTAAATGAAACTTTTGAGAACAGCAGTGTAAATGGAAGAAAATCTGCAGTTATGACTGAGCCTTGCCAACAGTACCCTTACAAGTGCACCATGTGTAGCTATTCTACTACTACTCTGAAAGGTCTCAGAGTTCATCAGCAACATAAGCATTCATTTTGTGATGACATGCCTTCATCGAATAGCAATGTGGTACAACAAGACAGTGAACCGGATTCTAATTCTAGTACAGTTAAGAAGAGTCAGACATCTATACTGGGATTATCGTCAAAAAATAACTTTGTTGCAAAGATATCACGGAAAAGTTCAAATGATTTTCCATTAGACTTATCACCGGGGAAAAAAAGAACAAGAATTGATGAAATTGCAAGCAACTTACAGAGCAAAATTAACCAGAGTAAGCAACAGGAGGAAGATGCTGTCATCAATGTGGAGGACGATGAAGAAGATGAGGAAAATGAAGTAGAGATCGAAGTAGAGCTCGACAAAGAAGATGACGTATCTGAACCAATGATGGAGGCAGGAGAGACTTACACTTTTCAGCAGATCTGGAATAGGGATGGAACTGCATCCCAAAAAGGCATGAACTTCAGGAATATCCAAAATTATTCATCTTCCAATGGAGCGGAGATAGAGCTAACATTGTCTGATGATGATGAGGATTATTATTACCAGTCAGTAAGCCACCAAGACTCCAATGCATCTGTTTCTTTCAACCATTCTGGTGTTTTGAGTGAGAATGACCAAAACAATGAGAGTTCTGAATATAACGAAGACTCGGGAAGACTATATTATTGTAAGCATTGTGATTTTAGTAACAAATCTGCCAGGAGTGTAAGTACTCACTATCAAAGAATGCATCCATATATTAAGTTCAGTTTCAGGTACATCTTGGATCCCAATGATCACAGTGCAGTGTACAGATGCCTTGAATGCTATATTGATTATAATAACTTTGAAGATTTACAGCAACATTATGCAGAGCATCACCCTGAAGCAATGAATGTCCTCAATTTTGACCAAACCGATTTGATATATAGATGCCGCTTTTGTTCTTACACAAGTCCAAATGTTAGAAGCCTAATGCCACATTACCAAAGAATGCACCCAACGGTTAAGATCAATAATGCAATGATATTTTCAAGTTATGTCATTGATCGCCATGATGAATTAAGTTCTGAATCTCAAACCTTAAGAGAAATTTTGAATTCTGCTCCAAAGAGCATGACAACATCCACTCCTGCTGGACCTGGTTCTAGTGCCCCTGCAACGTTTAGCAAAACTGCTACAAAGCCATTTGCCACAGAAAATGAAAATCAAAAATCTCCGTCATCTGTTAATAATGTGGTGGTCTATGACTGTGACGTGTGTAATTTTGCAAGTCCAAACATGCATTCTGTTCTAGTTCACTATCAAAAAAAGCATCCTGATGAAAAGGCTTCGTATTTCCGTATTCAGAGAACCATGCGTATTGTCTCAGTGGACAGTGGAACTGCATTATCACAGCTAGCATTTGATGGAGGCTGTTCCATAACACCAACTACTTCCAATGTGTTGCCCAGTCAAGATTTAAATGCTGAAATTTACTTTTGCAAGCATTGTTCATATAGTAATCGCTCAGTTGTTGGTGTGTTGGTACACTATCAAAAACGACACCCTGAAATAAAAGTTACTGCAAAGTACATTAGACAAGCACCTCCAACAGCTGCAGATATGAGGAATGCTGATATTCCTCCACCAAGCACACCGTCAAAGCCTCCATCATCTTCCCAAAAGAAGGGCTCTTTACAGCATAGAGAAAATGAGATGTTCTTTTGCCAACACTGTGATTATGGAAACCAGACCGTTAAAGGAGTTCTTATCCATTATCAAAAGAAACACCGGGATTTTAAAGTAAATGCAGATGTAATTAGACAACATACAGCTGCCATTAGAAGTCTCTGTGATCAAGGACAAAAGAAGCAAGAAGTCAATACAAAGTTATCACCATCCGCAGCTGAGAATGAGAAGACAAAGCTTCGAAGTCTCAGGTGTAGACAATGTTCATATTCAACTCCTTATGTATATGCACTAAGGAAACACATGAAAAAAGATCATCCTACCTTGAAGGCCACTGTAACATCAATATTGAAATGGGCCTTTTTAGATGGTTTTATAGAAGCTGGTTATCACTGTGAATGGTGTATCTATTCTCATTCAGAACCAGGTGGCTTACTTGAACATTACCAAAGGAGGCACCCGGAGCACTATGTAGATTACACCTATATGGCCACTAAACTATGTGCAGGTCCAGACACTAACCCTACTCAAACAGCATCAGAACCAAAACCATATAAGTGTAAGGAATGTACATTTGAAGGACCTTCTATCTGGGATATAAGTAATCACTATCAATCTTTTCATCCTTGGGCGCTCAAAGGGGATGAATCTGTGTTGCTTGCGATAATTCGAGAAAAAGATGCTTCAGAAAAAGCAAATGCAGAAGAGTTAATATCGTCACAGAGTCAACCTCTACAAAAGATTACAGCAAATGCAGAACAGGGTGACAGCGGTGATGAATCTGGCCTGTCACATGAAAAACCTTTACAATCATCTGTTCACTCTGTGCTTTCTTCCTCCCCATATCAGTGCATGGTTTGCCAGTCTGAGTACAACAACTTACATGGGCTACTGACCCATTATGGGAAAAAACACCCTGGTATGAAGGTTAAAGCTGCAGATTTTGCACAGGACATAGACATTAACCCCACATCTGTATATAAATGCAGACATTGTCCTTACATTAACACTCGGATTCATGGTGTCCTTACTCACTATCAAAAGCGACATCCTTCAATAAAAGTAACTGCTGAAGACTTTGTGCATGATTTTGAACCACCTGCAGAAATTGCTCAGAATGAAGCAGAAGAAAACAATCGCATCTTTAAGCAGGGTTATGGTGCTTACAGGTGCAAAATATGTCCCTACACGCATGGAACTCTTGAAAAATTAAAAATTCACTATGAAAAATATCATGACCAAACAGCTCCTGAAATGCTTTCTCAGTTGTCTCCAAAAGAGATTTCATCTGTTGACCAAGACACCCTTTCTGATGAACTTCCACCTCAGACAGTTGTCACACTTGAACCTGGTGAGGTGACAGAAACTGTAAATTCTAAACGAAACCACTTGGCCCCACACACGGTCTTCAGATGCCAGCTATGTAAATACTTCTGCTCTACCAGAAAAGGAATTGCTAGACATTACCGAATCAAACATAACAATGTTAGAGCTCAGCCAGAAGGAAAAAATAATTTATTCAAATGTGCACTGTGTAACTATACAAATGCTATTCGCAAGGGCCTTGCTGCTCATTACCAGAAGCGTCATGATATTGATGCATATTACACACATTGTTTAGCTGCCTCTAGAACCGTTACTGACAAACCTTCTAAAGTAATCATTCCTACCCCACCAAAAGATGACTCCCCTGAGTTAAGCGAAGAGTTAAAAAAGGCAGTGGAAAAGAAAAAATGCTCCCTATGTCCCTTCCAATCCTTCAGCAAAAAAGGGATAATGTCTCATTATATGAAACGTCATCCTGGTGTTATTCCAAAAAAACAAAATGCCAGCAAGCTTGGTTGTTATTTTACACCTGTGTATGCTGAGGAAAATGAATGCCAAAGTTCTGGTGAAGAAATTCATGAATCAGAGGCACCAGTTATTGATGCAGAGCCTCTGGAAATGGAATTGCTTCCATTTAGATGTATAAAATGTTTCAAACTCTCTTTTAGCACTCCTGAGCTTCTCTGCATGCATTACACAGACCACCATAGCAAGGATATAAAGAGGGACTTCTCCATTTTGGGTACAACTGGCACCCGATCCTTGACCACTACATATCAATGCAAACATTGCGGCAGCAGGCTAAACAATGTAGCTGAGTTGACAACTCATTTAAATTCTCATATAGAGGACTTCCAGAAGCGTGCCAAACGTCAAGAGAGGAGGAAGCAGCTCTTGAACAAGCAAAAAAGTGCAGAGACTGCCCTAACAGATGGAAAACATGATAAGGTAAATACTTTTTATTTATTTATTTTTTTAGCCAATTTACATTGAAGGAACACTCCAAGCACCAAATCCACAATAGTATGCTGTAGTGGTTACAATGCCTGAAGTGCCCTGTCATTCCCTCCCCCCCCATCAGTGGATTTGGGAAAGGTTAGTGATACAATTATTATGTTATATTGTAAAGCACTGTGGAATCTGTTGGTGCTATATATGTGCCAATAATAATCAAAATGCGCTTAAGTTAAACATCTGGGAGACATAATATATTTATATCATAATTCTTGTTTACGCATTTTTGGGATTCTGTGACTTCTGTTAAAGTTATAATCTGAACAGACCACACTTTGTAAAAATTAATTTGTACAACCATAACCTCATTCTGAAAATTTAAATCCTAGAGATATTGGCCATTTTAACAATCTTGATTAACTAATTAACTATTTTGTTCTATGTTTCTTTAGTAATACTACTGTAGATGTTATAATTATTTTTTTTAATCATATTCAGTGTTTAGATATGTATATAAATAAAGGGACACTATAGGCACCCACTGTAGATCATTGAAGTGGTCTGGGTGCACTGCCACAGGTTTCTTAACCATGCACAGCTAAGTATTGCAGTGTTTAAGATACTGCAAAAATTACCGTTTATGGTTAACTCCACCTCTAGTGACTGTCTACCAGAAAGCCAATAGAGGGATTGCTGGGCTGCAAGGTGACTTTTGGTTGCTTAACTGACGCTGGACGTCATCACGCTATACATGGGGACGTCCAGCGTCACCCAAAAACATCAGTCAGCGGGGGAGGAGCTAAGGCAGAGCTGTGAGACATTGGCACTGGACTCAGGTAAGTGACAGAAGGGATTTTTAAATCCCATTCTGCACCACGGGGGAAAAAGTTTGTTTTCCTGGCGCTATAGTTTCCATTTAAGTGATTTTATTTATATATATATATATATATATATATATATATATATATATTTTTTTTTTAAATATTGTGATAAAGTGAAGGCAGATAGGCCTATAACATTTAACCCCAGGGGGAGTATGTGTTGTAGGCAACACAATCCACCGTTTAATTATGGGCCCCTGGGGTGGAGCATTTGGAGAGCAGGGTGGGCCAATGCTCCACTCCTCAGTTTATACACAACTGGGGGAAATAATGTCCAGGCCAGAGTTTTTTGGAGCTGTCTCCAACCCACTGCTCAGCTGCAGATAATCAGCTGTAGCAGTGGGAATAAACCCCTCCCTGCTAGGCAGGTAAAGGGGGATTGCTGGCTTCCTCCCTGGAAGCAGGTAGGAGTGAGGCTGTTCTCTCCAGTAAGAGAGTCAAGGAGACTGAGCACTGGGAGTGAAAAAGGGAAGCAGTCAAGGCTGGCTTGGAGCACTGGGAGTGAAAAAGGGAAGCAGTCAAGGCTGGCTTGGAGCACTGGGAGTGCAAAAGGAAAGCAGTCAAGGCTGGCTTGGAGCATTGGGAGTGCAAAAGGAAAGCAGTCAAGGCTGGCTTGGAGCACTGGGAGTGTAGAAAGGGAAGCAGCAGGCTGTCAAAAACACTGGAGTGCTGAGAGCTGAAAAAGACGCTAGGTTGGTGAAACCACTTCTTGTTTTGTTATAGATTAAACCCTTGAGAGAGAGAGAGAGAGGGAACTTGATGTCAGTTAGTGCTCAGACCGAGCTAGGTTTTTGTTTATAGGATTTTGTTACATTTTTGTTTTCATTTGCTGCTGTAGCTGTGGTGGAGTTTGACAATAAAACTGCCTGGATTATATGCAAACCAAAGGACTGTGCCTGTTGTTTACCCTAGAGGACCGTGCTACCTGCAGACAAGGATCACAATATACATTATATTTTTTTTTATATTGTATTGGTGCACTATAGTATCAGGAATACAAACATGTATTCCTGAGACTATATAATACTTGAGACAACCACAGACCAACACCATAGTTCACTCAGGTGCTGCCCAGTGGGCATTCTATCCCTTATATTAAAATCAAGTCTGGTTGATAAAAGTATATACACCCTGTTCCAAATTATTATGCAAATTCTATTTAAGTGTCACAAAGATTAAATATTTTGGTTTTCAGTTTAACTCATGGATGGCATTGTGTCTCAGGGCTCTTTTGATCACTGAAAACAATCTCGAACACCTGTGATAATTAGATTGCCAGGTGAGCCCAATTTAAGGAAAAACTACTAAAGGAGGGTGTTCCACATTATTAAGCAGAGCACCATTTTCATGCAATATGGGGAAGAAAAAGGATCTCTTTACTGCCGAAAAGAGTGAAATAGTTCAATGCCTTGGACGAGGTATGACATTAGATATGTCACGAAAACTTAAGCGTGATCATCGCACTATTAAGAGATTTGTGGCTGATTCAGAGCACAGACGGGTTCGTGCAGATAAAGACACATTAAGGAAGATTTCTGCCAGATCCATGCATCAGATCAAGAGAGCAGCTGCTAAAATACCATTACATAGCAGCAAACAGATATTTGAAGCTGCTGGTGCCTCTGGAGTCCCACGAACATCAAGGTGTAGAGTCCTCCAGAGTCTTGCAACTGTGCATAAACCTTCTATTTGGCTACCACTAACCAATGCTCACAAGCAGAAACGGCTGCATTGGGCAGAAAAATACATGAAGACTAATTTTCAAACAGTCCTATTCACTGAGTGCCGTGCAATCCTGGATGGTCCAGATGGATGGAGTAGTGGATGGTTGGTGGACGGCCACCCTGTCCAACAAGGCTGCGACGTTGGTGGAGTCATGTTTTGGGCTGGAATCATGGGAAGAGAGCTGGTCGGCCCCTTTAGGGTCCCCGAAGGTGTAAAGATGACCTTTGCAAAGTATGTGGAGTTTCTGACGGACCACTTTCTTCCCTGGTACAGAAGGAAGAACTATGCTTTCCGTAATAAAATAATCTTCATTCAAGACAATGCACCATCTCATGCTGCAAAGAATACCTCTGCATCAATGGCTGCTGTGGGGATAAAAGGAGAGAAAGTCATGGTGTGGCCTCCATCCTTCCCTGACCTCAATCCTATTGAGATGGTGGGAGGCAGTTTACATCCAAACAGCAGCTCTGAGAGGCTATTCTGACATCTTGCAAACAAATTCAAGCAGAAACTGTCCAAAAACTCATAAGTTCAATAGATGCAAGACTTGTGAAGTTGCTATCAAATAAGGGGTCCTATGTTAAAATGTAACATGACCTGTTAAAATGTTTAAAAAGTAAAATTGTTATACGTTTGATTGAAATAGCTTTTGATTTCAGTAAATATGTATAATGATGATTTTCAGTTTTTTACAACCTATAAAGTGTTTTGAAACTTACTGTGCGTAATAATTTGGAACAGTGCATTGTAATTTTTTTTTTTTTAATGTTTTTATTTTTTTTATTCAATAAAATTTGAATTGTACTTTTAATAGTTGATAACATGAGAATTATGCTGACTGTTATTTACATCAATTATTTAGGTAAATGAGAAAAATATAATTTGCATAATAATTTGGAACAGGGTGTAATCTGATCTGGAGAATATTCACTGAAAACCTTTTATTTGATTTAACTAACCATTTTGTCTTGTTCCTAGTAAAAAAAAGATGTTTCTCCCATTTTGTCTTCTCTATATATAAATCTTTGATTCTGTTACAGAGTTGTCAAGATGTCATGCCAAAAAAGGAAAAAGTAGTTGTGGGCTACAAATGTAAATTCTGTGTGGAAGTCCATCCTACCCTCCGCGCTATATGTAATCATCTCCGCAAACATATACAGTATGGAAATGTTCCACCTCTTCCCCCTGACTTCAAGGTAATGTTTATGTATATAACACATATTTTCAAAAAGGGTAAAATATAATAGTAATACTGTTGGAGGTGAAATATAATAGAATATATATAATATAATATAATTTATTTTATTTTTTTTACTAAATTGTGGAGCATTAAAAGAAAGGTGCATATTTTAGGCCAAAATAGCTGAACATGATCTCAGCTATTTGTGTAGCTGTGCTTTACTGACTTAACTATCCCAATACATATGTCGCATACTTTTAATTCCTTGTTTCAAAAATAAACACCACAGATTTATTTAGTATATCATTTTTATTTTTTACATTTTGCAGAAGTAGTGAATAAGCTTAGCTAAATTTAAGGAGCCCTACAGGTATGCTATAAAATGCCAGAGGTATGCATTTCCTGAAATTGTCTCACTCAAAAGAATACTAATGTCCTGTTACCTCTATAATGCAGGATACATTTTATTCGGTTTAGTTTGTCAGGGGTTGTGATATTTTACCTTTTTAGCATCACCTTAAGCAATTAATGTATACTGTATGATAAATAATGTTCTTTTGGGATAAGTTAATAATTTTGTTTTTAATAGTGTTGCATCTGTGGGCATATGTCTGGCAGGAGCTCTTAATACCTAGTTTTGTTTGGGTTTTGTTTTGTTTTTTTGTAATGAGTCTGTAGTTACTATGTCTGTGAAATGTTTTCTTGTCACTTGCTCTAGTAGGCAATTTTAGCATAAAAAGTGAAGTACCTATTGTTTTATTTTTTCCCCTTCTTCAATAAGGATGACAAAGAAGAGGTTAGTCATGTGAATGATGACCCAGAAAAAGAACCCATAGGAGAAAGAGAAGTTTCTGAAGCAGATACAAAAGAGATTAACCAGGAGGAGGAATTAAGACCTGGTGGGTACCCCTGCACCCAGTGTGACCGTGTCCTGATGTCTATGCAAGGTCTACGATCCCACGAAAGGAGTCATTTGGCACTGGCTCTGTTTACTCGAGAAGACAAATATAGCTGTCAGTTCTGTTCTTTTGTCTCTGCCTTCAGACACAAGTAAGTCTGATTTTTATTTATACATTTGTTTGGTTTATCATATGTGTGCATTTTACGTTTATATCTAACTAATCCTGCTCTAGAAGGTAACATTCCAAAATTTAAAAGAAAATGCATTTTTTTTTCATTGAGTCCAATGTTTCTTTATGAGACGCATTAGCCGTATAATGACATCGGATGTGAAGAAAGGAAGCAGCTCTAGTGACTCTCTAGACAGTCGCTAGAGGTGTGCTTTCAGCCAAATGTAAAGATTGCACTTTCTCAGAAATGACTATTTTATATAGTTTGAAAAGGGATAGCATCTACACTCCTAAACAACTGCATTAAAGGGACACCCCAGACCTCTAAAGCACTTCAGGTTGCTATATATGTAAAGAGTCTGACCTTTTTTATATTTATTCATTTATTTTACAAAAATGCAGATTTCTATAGGAATTGGCATTTTTATAAATGAACCTTGTTACACCCAGCTGGCTGTTAATCAGACAACCCGTCATGTTCCTTCCAGGTTGTTTCGCTCAGTGAGGCTAAACTCGAGGCATGCAATGGCAAAAGCACTTGCCTTGCAAAGACTTCTCATTGAGCTACACTGGGGAGTTTGTGATTGGACAGACACAGGAAATCTGGGCTTGGTTGGAAGAGGCAGTCTTGCAAAAGCTTCAGACAGGAGATCTGCAGCTTTTGCATGCTGTTTTTAGATGTATCCCTAAAAAAATACATAATTAAATGCATGCATGCAGCATTGGGGTATATCTACTAGACAATTACATTTTTAATTAATATTTTTGTTTTTAGGTAGTTGAGTGTCTTTTTAAGATGTAGTGACTGTGGTGCTTAGAGTGTCACTTAATTTTGTTAATAAGACCACTCTATTCTCTAGTTATTAAATGTTAATTGTGTGAGGGGCAAATAAGGCCGTATAGGAAAGGGGGAAATAAGTCGGTTGTGGTGTGCCGGAACCGACGTCGTGATAGGCCTGTAATGAAAGAGGGGCCCACCCATGAGGTGTAATGAAAAGTATAAATTAGAGGGAGTGGAGGGTGGGGACATGCGAATCGCTAAAAATACGTACGGGACGGAGGAAGGTGAGTAGGGGGTTTCAGTAGGGAACATGCCCCTCCCACAACTGCAGGCCATGCCTTTACATTTGTGTGAGGGGCAAATAAGGCCGTATAGGAAAGGGGGAAATAAGTCGGTTGTGGTGTGCCGGAACCGACGTCGTGGTAGGTCTGTAATAAAAGAGGGCAAAAAATAGATGCCTGCCAGAAACTTAAAGCAATCAACAAAACCTTAATTGCCTAGCTGTATGGTAAATGCCGAGCGAGTAGTTAGGTGCCCGGCACTCTAAATTGGGCAAGGGGGAAGTAAGGTCTGTTAAACGTGTTGGCCAACTAGGGAAAAACTAAGTGAGGGTAGAGAGGGTAACCAATAGACTGCATGAATAGGTGAGACTTCCTGAGACAATGCTGCAATATGACAAGGTGGCTGTGGGAAATATGTGGGACCCCAAGAAACTGTGAAAACAGGTATAGTGGCTCGACGACTACATTACATAGTTACTTAGCTGAAAAAGAGACTAGCGTCCCCCAAATCCGGCCTACCTCGCATTTGTGATTAAAACGGTTGATCCAAAAGAAGGCGAAAAACCCAGTTTGAAGCGCTTTCCAATTTGCAACAAGCTAGGGAAAAAAAATTCCTTCTTGACCCCAGAACGGCAGTTGGATTTATCCTTGGATCAAGCAGTTATCGCCCTACATTGAAGGTTGATGTCCGGTTCATGATGACAGACATGAAATAGGTCTGATAGTGATTGAAATACTTGGATGTTGATGTGAAATCTGTAAATTGAAAATTCCCGGAACCTGAAACGCCTTGAGTGTGGTAATCTGGTATGAGGAGATAAAACTGCGTGTGAATGAAACCTGTACAACATGTGAAGTTCTAGACTGGAAAGTAGAGTTGATGCAAGTAAGAGGTGGCAAAAGAAGCGAAAAATCAATCGCAGACAACATATCAACAGAGACAGGAACAGGATATGTGAGAAAGGAGCCTCAAAGGGGAAGAAAGGTCCTAACACATGCACCGCGAGTGCTAGAAAAAAGAGAGCCAGACGTGAAAGATGACGACCACGAGCTCACGAGGATAGCAGCCCGCGATCAGGCCCCGAAATGCCAGGAATGGTAGTGGCTACGGGAGAGGCCGTAGGCAGAGCCACGTTGGAAAGAGCAGAAGAGGCACAGGACTGATTGTACAAAAATAGGTGCAGGAAGTCTGGTTTGGATCTAGCCAAAGCGGCAGGTGCCAGTTGCCCTAAACTACCATCCGACATCGCCCCATAGACGACAGCAGCGAAGACAACCGGGGGGGGTGAACGGAGAAGAGTGGACTCGTGGCCCCCTCCAGTAACAGCGTAACCCGTGGAGGCAGACAGACACAGAGTACAGCTGACCAGAAGGCTGCCGGGGGGGGAGGGGAGAGCGTTGGGGGGGGGGGAATAAGTTGACACTCGAGAACAGCAGCGAAACAAGGAAGTGCCCAGGACCCGAAAAGAAGGCAGGAGTAGCCGAAACTCCACAGCGCGATTAGAACCAGAGCTAGCCAGAGAGCCCGGGCGGAAAAATACCAAGCCGACACCTAGCAGCGGAGACCTGCTAGAAAAAGAGATGAATAAAACCGCGCATAAGTGATCCAATGTGAGTGTGAAAGTGCATGAATGTACGTGCTGGCATACTAGCTAATGCCAAAAAGGTGAAGCAATTAAAATTAGGTTTGGTGACAGGTGAGGCCCTGCTAGACGCCAAGCGGCGAGAGAGGCTCTATCTACGAGTTTGCGCGAGGGGATAATGTGGCCACCGAAACGTTCTGGCGGGGTGTCGGCCTCTCGGTGACAGCTAAACATAAGATAGAATGGGAGTGACAGGTGAGGCCCTCCCTATGCCACAATGCGAGGCGACTAACTATGATTTGGCCCGAGGGGCATAGTACCTCAGAGTATGAGGATGGGTGTTGGCCTCCCGGGACCACTAACCTAAGGCGAAAAAGCCAGGGGGGGAATTACCAACTAGTGGACACCTAGGACCCTGACAGCCAGCCACAGCTAACTAAGAGGGGAGGGAAGGTAGTGCGAGAGGATAGATTTGCTGAATGAGTATCGAAGACGTGAGTGTGAACGAGGAAACACCGCAGAGCCGACCTTAACCGAATGCAGAGCAAGCACGTCAGTGTCTAGGCAGTAGGTAACAGAAACAGAGTTGGTGTAAACCCCACGGGGGTCACAAGACCCAGTGTGAGTGTGTGTGAGCGTGGGAGTGCTGGCATACTAGCTAAGGCAAAACAATTAAAACTAGGTCTGGTGACAGGTGAGGCCAAGCGGCGTGAGAAGCTCTATCTATGCGTTGGCGCGAGGGGATAATGTGGCCACCGAAATGTTGTGGCAGGGTGTCGGCCTCTCGGTGACAGCTAAACATAAGATAGAATGGGAGTGACAGGTGAGGCCCTCCCTATGCCACAATGCGAGGCGACTAACTATGATTTGGCCCGAAGGGCGTAGTACCTCAGAGTATGAGGATGGGTGTTGGCCTCGCGGGACCACTAACCTAAGGCGAAGAAGCCAGGGAGGGAATTACCAACTAGTGGACACCTAGGAGCCTGACAGCCAGCAACAGCTAGCTAAGAGGGGAGGGTAACGAGTGAGAGAGGGGACGTACTGTGTGAGTGAAAAGAGGGGGCGGAGTATGAGGAAGAATCGTGGGGTCGCCCGTAACTGGAGGGCAGAGTGAGCCCGTCGGAGTCCAGGTGATCAGGCTGTATAGAGTACGCAAGTATGAAAAAAAAAAAATGCGCAAACGCGTGTAGAACCCACGGGGGTACTGACACCGCAAGGAAAACTATAATGGGAGAAATTATCCCTCTAAGTTTTATATATGTAAATATTTTCAAATCTCAAATTAGCTAATGTGTCCTAACCTACTCCTCACCCCCAGCACTGTCATCTATTTTTTTTTTTTTTTAATTTTAATTCCCACTTGCAAAGTCCGGCGTGAGGGTGACAGATTAGAGTTGTTGGGAGGCAATACAGTGACAACTGTTTAAGTGAGTGCAGGACAATGGCGGAGAACAAGCTAGCAGCTCATTGTAACTGACAGCGACCATACAGTAAATAGAGCGAGCTACAGGCGTCGCTGTGCAGCTAAGCGCCCACTAACACATCATACACAATCCCAATGAGCACAAAAAAAAGGAGGCTCTGTTCATATAGAACAATAAGGAAACAGCCATCCAGAAGGAAAACATGGAAACCATCAGTGTATATAGCTACAATGATTCCATTCTAATAAAATGAAGTGTGTATTTTTATTTTATTTTATTTTTCTAAAGGGGGGAAAATACAACAATGGGACATAAAGAGTTAAATTACATGAGATGGTATGCGGGGCGACAACATGGGCGCATTTTATGTAGCGAGTGAAGCTGTGTATGTGTGAAAAGCATTTCACGAGACTAGCAGCAAGCTGAGCTGCCTGCGGAGGTGAGCAGCGTCGTAGCCGGGCCGACTCCACAAGAGCCAGGGCTGAAAGGGGGCGACGTGGAGGACGAGAGGCAGAGCTCCGGAAGGGGAACCAACTACCCATACCCCGCTCTGCAGCGAAGTTAGCCCGCGGACTGGAACTACATGAAACGGGAAATAAAGAGCAGCACTCACCGAAACCACACCACTGCCCGACACGCAACCATGATCCCCACGATGGACAGCACAGCAAAGCACCCCCACCACGGCTAGGTAAGCAGGACCCGCCGACAACAGCCCTGAGAAAAAGACCGTGGACGGGAAGAAACCGGCGATGGAAAACGGCAGATCAGGTAAGGAGAACCACAAGGGAGCAGATGGCGATCGGAAATAGCGACATGCGAATTGCTAAAAATACGTACGGGACGGAGGAAGGTGAGTAGGGGGTTTAAGTAGGGAACATGCCCCTCCCACAACTGCAGGCCAAGCCTTTACATTTATCAATGTTGTTGTCTCCCATATATTTCAAAAGCAACATTCATAAATATTCCATAGGCAACTTGTATTAAGGCTTCAGACCACTAGCAGTAACTTGGAGCTACTCTTTGTGGGAACTTATGGAGATTTACTATGGAACAAAACAATTCTACTTCACAAGCATCTGTGAGCTCACACAAATGTAAAACACAATCTAAAACTGAAGATTTTTTTTTTTTTGTAGTTTGCCATGGACACTTCTATAAGAGATGACGAGTGCTATATTTCACCCATACAGAATTATGAAATTTGATTTTTGTGAGAAATCTCTAAGGTGCTGCCCACAAATGGAATGAACTCAGTTTTAATCACTACAACAATGATGCAAATAAAATACTGAAGAAACCAATGCCTATGCTTGAGTTACAGTGTACTGTCAACAGGTGTCCATAGTAGTGTTTTTGTTAAGTTAATTATTTGTTAATTATAAGGTTACATGGTGGTCAATGAATTCTTTCTTATTGTACATTAATTGTGTGCACATTCAAAATGAGATTTAAATGCAGACCTTTATATCTAAAGCTCAGGATTTTAGAATTCCAAAGATTTAGTGTAAATATTTAATGTACCGCGTCTTTAAGGAAGATAAACAAGATTGTTTGTTTATTTCAAAAGGCATAACATGTTTAACATACCTTGCTTTTTTTTCCTTTGTGCTTAGTTTGGATCGACACATTCAGACTCATCATGGACATCACAAACCATTCAGATGCAAACTGTGCCCTTTCAAGTCATCTTACAATAGCAGGCTGAAAACACATATTCTAAAAGCACATGGCGGTAAGTTGTGCTATAATCCTATGAACCATAAACCATATATAGCTTTGTGACAGATGGTATTGTCTAGGCTTCTCTTTCCATGCATCTATTATGTCAGATATCCAAATAATACATTTAGTTACCACCGGAGAGCTTGAAGAATAAACTTTAGCATAATATTGTAGTGTTTGAGTTTTCATGAAACCCTCACTTGAGTTTACCTATGGAAAAGCCAATGTATTGCTTCCTATTTAAATTTTCTAATGACCTATATAACAGTAGGTGGGAGTTATCCAAGTATTGTTATTTGGTTACACCCACTGATAACAGTATGCATGTTTAATTTAAAGGGACTCCCCACACCCCTTGAGTACTTTAGCTCGCTAAAATGCTTTGTGTGTATCATGCTCTCTTTACTATATTTTACAAAAAGTTCAGATTTCAATATAAATTGGCTCTTTTACTAATTAACCTTGTTACACCCCCTGGTTGACGATCAGACAACAGGTCCAGATACTTCCTGGTTTGCTTAGCTCAGTGGAGCTAAACTCAAGTGGCAGTAATTGCTCAGAGCACCTACTGCAAAGACTTCTCATGGAAATCTGTGATTGGACAGGCACAGAAAGTCTGGGCGGGGTAAAAAGGCGAGGGCTGGCATAGCCTTTAGGTGAGAGATATTAAGCTTTTACAAGCTGCTTTTAGAAAAAACCCACAATCACATAATGCACACCTGTTTTCATTTGGTGTATATCTACTAAACAATGATTATTTTTGAGTGAAGTGTCCCTTCCCAGACAACTATGGTGCATGTATTGAGTAAGGGAAGTGTAAAATTATATGATGCACTGGAATGTGTAAGCTTTATATGGCTTCACTATGGAGTATCACACCTTGTGTAAGGACAGCATCCCATGACTCATTGGACAGAATGCAAGGAAGACCAAATGGTTATGAACAGGAGATGCCTTTCTGTAGCAGAGATATGACCGTGACAGATCATACTTTTAAACCTGTGTGTCTCATTAACAGCTGCAGGGCACATTTGGTTGAAGTCTTAGATTCTAAGAAGTTACTATCTTTTAATACAAAGGTTCACATAATCCTTCCAACAAAAACGCAGAAGTTGGATCACTGCAATCAATGAAAATTTAAATTTTTATTTTTTTATTTTGCATTATTAAATGTTTTATTGCATGTATGTGTGTTTTAATTAGATTTATCTTTTAGGACTTGTCATGCAGGACGTATAATATAGATCAAATTTATTTTAGGTACAACCTGAAATAGATCAAATTTATTTTAAGAAGATAATTCTCAAACTTTGTAACAACTGTACTGTATATATACAATTTATTTTACACACAAAAAAAATATATCAAAGGTGTTGAAAAACCGTGACAAGTTTTATTTTTGCAAATTTACAACCATTTAAACAATTTAGATCAAAACAACAAAGTTGGGGAGAGAGGGGTAAAGTGACTTGGTAAAATGTGCTATTTAGCCCCAATCTTGCCATTTGTTTCTTCTTTCATGAAAATACATAATGTAAATGTTGGTTCTTGTGTTATTTTCAGGGGAGCACCATGCCTACAAATGCTCTTCTTGTTCATTTTCAACAATGACCATCAGTCAGCTGAAAGACCACTCTTTGAAAGTTCATGGTAAAACCCTACCTTTGCCCCGACTGCGTGCTATTTCTCAGACAAGCCCACGTGGTAGACAGTCATCACGGATTGGGAAGGAAACTGGTCTAGATGGTAAGTATTTATTATTAATTTCTCCTTCTTAATACAACTTGCTTGGTTTTATGACTGTTATATTTGTAAAGTTTACTTTGGTAGTCCAAATGGTGATATTGTTTCTTGTGGTGTATGCGTAGTTTTACCATTATAATGCATGAGATCACATCTTTTTATATTTTTTGTACTTTAGACAGGGTGATAAGTGTTTATAACTGATAGGATCAACTTTATTAGTCCATATATTATTGCTACATCATTGAATAAAAGGGTAACTGTTGATACTTTTTATGTGATACTTAATAAAATGTCAGTTGGAAAATGATGTGTTAAAGAGACCCCCCAAGCACCAAAACAACTTAATTTTAATTGTTTTTGGTTCATAGACCTGATCCCTTTTTTGGACCACGTAAAACATTGCCATTTCAAGAAATGGAGAAATGGATATGTTTACATTCGTCCATAACCACGCCTGTATTGTCTGTCAAACTGACAACCACTAGAGGCGCTTCATTATTAAGACCTTAAAACCAAAATGAAGTTCTTAACATTCACTGTCCTCACACATTATGCTTACATACTAGTTGCTAATGCAATTGCCACACATGTGTCACAGGTCCCCAATGCTTGAGGAGCATTGGAGTAGGCCAAGATGATCAGCAATGATGAACTCCGTAGAGATGGAGTGACTGCTGCAGGGAGATTGTCCCAGTGCTGGCTTACAGGCAAGTCCAATTGCCCTTTTTAAAGTTAGTGTTCCATTAAGACATAGATGTACTCTATATAGAATACTCATCAGTCCAAAATAATGAGTAAGTTGCCAAAGATATCTCATTTGTTCTTTCCTTTTGGGACAGAGAGCATGCAATTACACAAATGGACAGAGAAAGAAAAAAAGATAAGTGCAGAGATGAAAACTGAAAAGCGCGGAGTAACGTAACAAAGGAAGGAGAGAAACTATAAAAAAAAAAATGCTAGAAATGGGCATATATTCCTTATTTGAGGCAAAGCGGAGCACCTGCCTAGCAATGTAGTCAAACCCATTTATGCAGTCTCTTAGCCAAATCTGGGAAACTAGGTTGTCTTGCCCTCAATTAAGTGCAAAAATTTTCCAAAATGTTTGCCTGCTTCTTGATTCTGTTAGCAAATATTCTATGATAGTTAAACTTGGTTCCCCAGACATTTTTCGAACTTCACTTTATAGGGTGCTAAGTAAGCCTTCACCAAGACCTGGAGTGTAAGTTTATACATAGTTATTGAAGATAGTTCATCTTGCTTTTCATGTTTGGTTTACTTTAGTTGTAGCACATAGCTGTAAGCAAATTTAATTTTAATTTCAAATGTCACTGCTATCCAAAAAAAATTTAGTTTTCCTGAACAAAGTAGCCTTAGATTTTTATTTTATCTTTCTTACTTTCTTTTGATCAGTTTGTTTAATTACTAAAATCCGACTAGAATAGCTCATTTCTAGTTTTAGTAAAAATGGTGTAGACCCACAATGAGATGACTTTTTTTGTTACATTTCTACTTGCTGTGATTGAAGGAGTTTCACTTTCTCTAGTCCTGGCATGTCAGGATTCAACCAAACTTTGCCTGATTACACCTTTACTAAAGGTTCAGCCTAAGCAGAACTTTTCCACAGACTATTCTACTGTTTGTTGCATCTTTCCTTCAAGTCCCTCTTAATATATATTTCATGTCTGTGTCTAGAATAACAAATATATTTAAACCCCATGTTTTTCCAGTCAAAACATGTCAACTGTAGTTATACATGCTGGTTCGTATTTTCATCAAGAGAGGAGTCTTTAAAATAGTCCTCAGATGTCTGAAGAAGACAAACTTTGTAAAGGTTTAGCAGTGTTCTGCATTAATGACACTCTGTAGGAATGTGGAGCACGAGGAAGGAAAGAGCAGGAGGACAAGTTTAAAGACCTTTGGTTTCCTCTCCAGGATGTTCCCATTAACCACTGGACTTTTATTACCAAAAACAGGAAGCATGCATACTAGTGAATGTAGAGTAATGGTAAACCGTGGTCCATCTAACATAAGGTTAAAAAATGTTTGTTAGAACATGTATGGGAAATACTTACACGTTATAGAGATATTAAAGAAAAAAAGCAAAATACTTTTTAATAAAACGCTATAGCATTGGGAATACCAATATGTATATCAGCCAGTTAGATTCAGGCCCCTCCAGAAGTCATAAAATATAGCTATTTATTTACCTTATTTCCCCTACCGCACCGGTCTTGCTGTGGCCGCCACCCCTCCCCCATTGTTGACATTATTAGTATTGATGACCACAGCCAATCCTATGAGGTCGTTGTGGTGTTTAATCACCTCATTCTGACCCTTTACCACTGAATATCCTGTTCTGTAGCTCAGCAGTGCAGGACCCCCAATCCCTGTATCTCGGCCTTTAACTTCTCCAACATCAATTCTTTGGGCAAGGTACTGCCTGTCCGATTTTTTCATTTGTTGCAGGATACACTCTGTATCTTCTGTGCAGGGAAGCGAGGAGTCTGCTGCCCTGTCCTCTATATCGTCCTTTGTGTCACGTGGCCTTCTTGCAGCACCACTTTGTGGGGCGAAGGCATGGAGACTAGCTGTGAAACCTTAAGCTGCAGCCACCTCTTGGTGCTTCAGTTTTTTTTTAATGGGATTTTATCATGGCTGCGTAGATGCTCTCTGCCTAATCGATATTTCTCCAAGATGGCCAAGCCACACCCCTTAGACTTTTTATGTTTCAAGCTCTTTCATTACGTTGTAGATGGTTATGTATGGGTGTCATTTTTTCACTTCTCATCTTGGCTTACCAATTCATATCTTAAATGTTAACCTATCACACTTTGAAAATAACAAAGATACATGGTATAATGATTGTTACATGAGCTTTTATTAAATTTGGAGTATACTCCACAGGTGAAATTTTGTATTGATTGTGGTAAAGTTGCACTAGCCATTTTTGTATGGTACAGTTATTTTACTGTGAGAGTGACAATGTATTGTCCAGTTAGGTCACATAATGCATTAACAATATGTACGCAACTGCACACTACTCAGGGGGTGCATGGTTTCCAGGGCGGTACCTTATTTATACCTCATGGTAAATTCGGAACTTTGCCATCAACTTTGTGGGGCTTACACTACTGAGATATTGATTGGGCAGTTGTTTTATATGCTTAATTTACATTTTGCCTTTGAATGAAAGGCACAATGTTGGCTGTGATCCTTTATATTTATGTTTAATTTCAATTTAGAAAAATAGTTAAAATGTATGGTTTTGCTTTAATGTTGGATAAACATTTAAAGTAGTTTTTCAACATATTCAAATATATTTATCATACAAAAAAAATCAATTTATTCTCAAATATCAAAATAGTACAAAATGAAATATTTTTGCATAATTTTAAATCATTTTTAAATTGTAAAGAGGGTGAAATATACAGTGAGTGGATATGTATGGTAGCAGAAACCACTACAAACCACCTGAGTGGGAACCCCTTATACCACTCTAAAGAATTAGCAAAAACAATACATTCAATAGGTGGATTACACATTCTGATGTATCTAAAAGAGACAAAATAATATAGTGCATTATTGCCAGTATATATAATATTGTATTGTGTGATATTATAATATTGTGGGAATCAAGTATTCTCAAGCCTGGAGCCAAATAATAACATATGGCTCTCATGGGTAGTGCAGAGGGACTCTTCGTAGGATGTCCCTATCCTTCTTCTAGGTATTCCTTTTATGAAGTCTTTAGGATTTCTGGAGTAAAGCTGAGTTGGACAGGCAAGTTTCCATAAAAAATGCTTTATTCAATTCAAGTAAAATGGACAAAAATGTGCAATGAAATCAAATATAAATGAAAATTTGGAACAAGAGTTCAAATGAGTCTTGGTTTATCCAATAAAAGTCCTGCTTGATGGCTGATGTATCCAGAACGCGTTTCGCCCTGTGGTGGGGGCTTCCTAAGTCGGTGTGTGGTATGGAACTGCCAATAGGGCAGTTCCTTGGCGTCCTTTTCAATCATCTTGTGTAGGTACTTCCGGGTTCGGCTGTCTGCACTTGGAACGCATTATGCGTTCCAATTCAGACGTCATGCGCTCTCCTTCCGGGTTGCGTCACCTGTGCCAATTCGGGCTCATGGTTGACATTACTGGAACACATGTCGTATGACACGTGCATTCCATTAGGGAAATTCTCTGTATCCGCGAGGATCGCTGTTTGCGATCTTAATTTGGCGGTATATACAAATTGTCATTTAACACTTGCAGTATATATTTGAGCTAAGCGTACCTTTTTATATAGATAAAATATAATTAATTAAAATAAAAAAAAGATATAAGGTGGTGTGTTATTCATTTTTAAAAAGGTAATTTGGCTGTCATAATCCAAATGTGTATATAGTAAATAAAAGTATTGCTCCTAAATTAGAGAGAACAATACACACTTACAATGAAGTGATATACAAATATTGAAATAAAAGAATATATCATTTTTATTCTTCAGACCACTTAATTGAGCTGAAGTTGTCTGAGTGACTATAGTGGTCCTTTAATTCTGCAGATGGTGTGGTGTTATGCATTTGCTTATTTTCCTTATCTTAGAGCTGGGATGTCACTGGTGGGTGGTATGGAAAGAACAGTTAGTTTGATTTCATTTTGATACTTAATGTTTTAATGCAAAAATTTGCATCAAGTGCATTGACCTATATAAAGCACAGACGTACTTTTTTTTTTTTTAATAGTAACAATAGTTTGCACAAGTTGGGGGACTATTGACTTGGAAACAGAACAGGATTGTATCAATATCTATTCTACACACAATTTTTCTGGGTTAAGGAATAAACATTAAATATTTGTTATCCTATAGTACCTATATGCACATACTATTTATTTGTTGCTGTATATTTTTTGCTTTAATGGTTATGATACCGTTGCAGCAGTGTGGAAGTGGTAGAACTCTAGGAGTTGGCTATTTGAGCACTATAATTTATGGCATTTTGGATCCCCCAACTCGAGAGTCACCATCTTCTACCTGATTCCTGCTGCTGGAAATGAACAGTTATTGTGCTACTTCCTTTGGAGATGGTTGAACTTTGCAGCGCTTTGCAAAAATATATTTTTCTGTGCTTTCAAGATCGTGGGAGTTTTTGTTACCCTGTCATTTGTCAAGTGCAGGAAGGATATAGTTATAGAATATCTGGACTTGTGTCAGAGACTATATAGAGAAAGGGTTCCTACTACAGACTGACAGGCTATATGCCCATATTGGGATACAACCCTGGGTTTTCTCTCTCCTTTTTGAGTGCAAATATCCTGTGATTATATTGCTCATTAATTGACTGGGTGAAAATAGTCACCTTTGGTTTGCTCTTTAGTATTGTGCCCATTGGCAGCTTTGGTGAATATTTAGGGTTCTGTCTGCTTGCTGCATTTGTCCCTGAATCTGCTCTTGTGTTTACTCTGTCTCCCCCACAGTCCTCTGTGCCGTTAACGTCTCCTCTACCTGCTAGTCTGCTTTGGGATGAGTATCCAAATACATTTTCCCTGTATTCTTCTGTGAGTTTGGGTTTCTAACCAAGCTCTTCATGGTTTCAAAAATTACTTGCCGAGTTCGGACCTACTGTGGACCTCAAGGTGCTAAACACTTGCCTACATATAAAATCGGTCAAATGCTCAACCCACCGCTCATTTTACTTATAAAAAGAATACTATAGAGACAGGAACACAAACATGTATTCCTGACCCTATAGTGTTAAACTATTTATCACCCTGGCACCCTTTGTCCCCCTTAAATTTAGTAACCAGAGCTGCATGGATCCTCCAGGGCTGGCTCCGCTCATGCTCTGCCCCCTTGACTGACATCAGAATTGATTATTCCAAACGACGCCCAGGCCAATCAGCATCTCCTCATAGAGATGCATGTAATCAATGCATCTCTATGAGGAAAGTTCAGCGTCTCTATGCAGAGTGGAGTTTCTATTCAGAGAAACTGCTATGTTTACCTATGGGTTAATCCAGCCTCTAGTGGCTGTCTCATGGACAGCTGCTAGAGGGCTTCCGCGCTTCTCACTGTGATTTTCACAGTGAGAAGACGCTTGCGTCCATAGGAAAGCATTGAGAATGCTTTCCTATGGACTGGCTGAATGCGCGCGCAGCTCCTGCCGCGCATGCGCATTCTGCCGAAGAGGAGGAGGAGAACTCGGCGCTGGAGAAAGAGGTAAGTTTAACCCCTTCCTCCACCTAGAGCCCGGCGGGAGGGGGACTCTGAGGGTGGGGGCACCTTCAGGGCACTACAGTGCAAGGAAAACGAGTATGTTTTCCTGGCACTATAGTGGTCCTTTACGCTGTTGTTGTTCTGGTTACTATAGTGCCCCTTTAATATCTGTTGTTGGGAAATTATTTGATAGGAATTCATTTTGAGCAACAATATAATTAGCAGGAATTTAAAGGACACTATAGTCACCAGGAGAGCTATAGCGTAATGTATTTTTTCTCGTGCATATAATATGACCCTGTCGGCAGTTTAATGTAAACCCTGCCATTTCATTACTCCTTAGGAACACCTCTAGTGGCAATCACTCAGTCATGTTACCTCTGCTTGGAGGCTCTAGATGTTTCTCAGAGAGATGCATTGATTTAAAGCATCTCTGAGGAGATGCATTTCCTATGGGAAATCATTGGATTGGCTGAGATCATCAATTTTGATGATCTTAGCCAATGAGGCAGAGTTAGCTGCGGTGGACCCATGTGGAGCTGGTATAGATGGTTGGGTTTTTTTTGTTTTTTTACCTGTTTAGCGTGGGCAATGGGGAGCCAGAAAACTAAATGGTGTGTTTAACACTGTAGTGTCAGGAATACACATTTGTATTCCTGACACTACAGAGGTTTCTTTAACCCCTTAAGGACCAAACTCCTGGAATAAAAGGGAATCATGACATGTCACACATGTCATGTGTCTTTAAGGGGTTAACATGGTTTTATGAAAAACAAGTCAAGCCAGTCAAACTTACCCAGTAATTGCATTATATGATGAAGTTGGCAGAAATTTAGTTCTGAGTGTTCCAGTGGTTTGATCTACTTGGATTTTTCTAAGGCATTTCATACAGTTCCACACAAAAGGTTACTGTTCTTGTTTAGATGGAAAAAATATATTGTTCTTGGATAGAACACTGGCTTAAAAATAGAGTGGAGAGAGTAGTTGTAAATGGCAATTTTTCAAATAATTTAGTGAGGTGCCTTGGTTCTGTCATAGGTCAAATTTTTTCTTTAATCTGTTTCTAAATGATCTTGATCATTGAAAGTCATGTGTAGGTGTTTGCAGATGACACAAATCTAGGCAAGATAATACAGTCCGGCATGATATAATGTCTCTACAGAGAGATTTGGATAAATTGGGGGACTGGGCAGGAAAGTGGCAGATGAGATTCAAGATAGATAAATGCAAACTCATGCATTTTGGAAAAAGGAACCCAAAAGCAACTCTATGGACTTGAGTCTTTTTTTTTTTTTTTTGTAACCTAGATATTTTAAAAAGGCTTTCCAAACGTTTTCAAATGATTCAATAGTGTTAGAATCATTCCAAATAATTTAATTACAAACATCACAATTTGGAAATGAATCTTAAATAGAGGCCTTTCTTCAAGTATTTACAGGATGCTCCATCAGTATTTACCAAAGTGTGGGATATCCTGATAGCTCTAGCCCTCTGCCTCTTTGTTTACCTATACCTGGAAGACACGCTTTATCATGTGTAGTCTTCTTAGCAAGGAGTCCATCATAAAGACTTACTTGTCTCACTCCTGCAAGAATGTGGCTGATGTTTTCATCTAACAAAGTGCCCACTGGATCTCCTGGGTATGGTTCCAGGTTTGACCTCTGAAATTCATCACTAATGCTGATTTGGCAAGTCTAACTCTTCCTGTCTCCACTTTGCTGGTGCCCTCTCTGACTGTAACAAATTATATGGAGGTTCTGGGTCTCATGGTATTAAAATGAAATACCTTTTGCCATATCTCAATTCCTGAATCCGACCCATGTTTGTTTTTGCTGGTGCATGGTTTTAACATCCATTAGGATCTTGATTTGAGGGACAGTGGGGGGGCTCCATGGTCATGGGATTTGATCTTATCTGAAGCAAGGTTATCAATATATGGCCTAAACTTTAATAAGTTTTCTAAAATGATTCAATACTGTTAGAAAAATTAGCAAATTAGTTATCTACAAACATTTTACTTGTAATGGTCACTCATGCAGATAAATCACTTGGACACATTTCTAACAGTCTTAATCATTTGGAAAACATGTTAAACCAACAATTAGGATGCAGTTGTTCCTTCCTTTTGTCCATAGCTGGCCAAAGGTAAGAATAGGCTATCCAATGTCTTGGATGTAATTAGGCTCCTCAAATATTCTATGGATGCTATGAAAGCTTTCAGTAAATGTGATTCCCTCTTCGTCCATTTCTCTGGAGCCAGAAAGTGGCATTACCCATTTCCTTGGCCTTCTGGTTTGAATCTTTCTTCCTTGGCAAATTTACAGTAACTACTTCCTAGGAGGAAATGTCCATGGAGCAGTTTGGCAAAGCAACCAGCATCCTTCTTGCATAGATTTCAGCTACTTGGTCCTTCTTGCATAGTTTTCCAGCTCTGCTTCACTCCCACCTTATTTGATTTCTATTTCCTGTCCTAATGTGTTTTATACCCCACTTCCTATAGACTGTAGGCTCATTTGAGCAGAGTCCTCATCAACCTATCGTTCCTGTAAGCTTTCTTGTAATTTTCCTATTTATAGTTAAATCATCCCCCCTCCCCCTCATAATATTGTAAAGTGCTACGGAATCTGTTAGCGCTATATAAATGGCAATAATAATATAATAGAGTGTGTGTGTGTGTTGTTAGTCCAATTAAAAAAAGGTATCATTGCATACTGCAATACTCTGGTATTTTGACACTTTGTTTGGCAGAAAACTTCCAGCATCTTTTTCTGTGCCCACCCTTTTCTGTGCTTGGGTTTACCTTATCCCAAAACTTGTGACCATATTAAGATGAAAATTGATTTTTTTATTTTTTTTTTCCTTACCTTAAGGTGCTAGTGCCTGATGCATTTGCTCTTTCCCACTTTCCATAATTTTTTCTTTCCTATTAGATTCCGGCAGGTTTCCTTCTCCACTGCTTGCCTACACTGCTAACTGGGAATTTCCAGTGGGAGAGCAGGAATAAGTCGCCTGCATGTACTTCTGGGATTGTTTTTTTTCCAGAAAGTTTCAAGCGTACATTGTGTACATAGTGTCTTACTGCTTTTTATTTTAATAAAAAAAATTTAGTTTAAGATGAAGGCATGAATGTAATAGCTACTGTAAAATCACTTATGTGAGCGAAGCAAATAATGTAAGAAAAAGGCGGTTAGGCAAACTTTGAAAGTTTAGACCGGAATGGAATATCATTTTCTTACTTCTCACTTGGAATTAGTGTTTTTTATTTCAGTCTTGAGACCATATTCTATCATTTTTGTAATTTTTGATTAGAAGAATAGTTGTTTCCCAAAGGCCCAAACAGGTGTTACGCTGAGGAAATCTGCTAAATTAGGTGCAGTGAGTGTGGCAAAGAATTGGTTCATCTCACAACACTACTTAGCTTTTCACCCGGAATAGCACCTCTTTTGTCTTGATAAATCTCAGTTATATTTCAATGAGAATTATTGTTATAGATGCTTTATGTTGTAAAATGATAGGAAAAAGATGCTGCTCTGTCCAAAATATTGGGTAACAGAGCCAATCTGTATTGGTTGATGCCATAGAAATAATAAATGTTTGTTTGCTTGCATTAGCTCTTCATTTTTGCCACTTATTTACAATGGAAATCTAACAAATGTAATAGCAAGATACACTTAAGCATAGCAGAGCATAAATAGACCAGGTGCAAAATTATATTTATTCACCAAAAATTATGGCTTGAGGCTAATCACCAGAGATGGCAGACTTTCCATGTAAGAATAAATATCTGCATTTGTTTTATGTCTGACCAATCTGGGATTTTCTTAATCATGATCTCCATTCCTTTTGTGTGTGTGTGACTCCACAGTAAATGACTGATCTTTTATCTTTTGACACAGAATCTTCATATTCTGAACCACCAGATGTTCAGCAGCAACTGAATCATTACCAATCCGCTGCCTTGGCTAGGAGTAACAGTAACAGTAGCCCTGCACCTCTTCCTGTCGTGAAAACCTTGGCTGATCTAAAACAAGAACCAGTTCTCAACTGTGAATTCTGTGAGTTTTCTTCTGGATACATTCAGAGCATTCGGCGTCACTATCGAGATAAACATGGAGGAAAGAAGCTTTTCAAGTGCAAAGACTGCTCTTTCTACACATGCTTTAAGTAAGTGAAGACTAAACAAAACCCTGTAATAAGTGAAAGCATGCTGCTACATGTTCCCCTAACTCATTCCACAAATCTGGGGCTGCTTCACATGTGACCTTTATGTTCAAGGTTCTTTTGTTCTTGAAAGCCTGTGTCCAGTGGAGAAGGGAGTTGCATAGCTCCAAGATTCCTTAAAGGGACACTCCAGGCACCCAGACCACTTCTGCCCATTGGAGTGGTCTGGGTGCCAACTCCCACTACTCCTAACCCTGCAAGTGTAATTATTGCAGTTTTTTATAAACTGCAATAATTACCTTGCAGGGTTAACTCCACCTCTAGTGGCACTTTCAATGCTTTCCTATGGGGATCTTTAATGCGCATTAGGTCTCCCCGGCCGGTGGGCGGGATCAGTCCCGCCCTCCGGCCGACGTAATACAGAGGAGGAGCGGCAGCGGAGGAAGAAGCAGCGACGTGAGACATGTTGCTGCCTCTGGTAAGTGACTGAAGGGGTTTTCACCCCTTCAGCAGTCGGGCATTGGGGGGTGGGAGGGGGCGGGGACCTGCAGTTCCAGGAAAACTGATTATTTTCTTGGCACTGGAGTTTCCCTTTAAGAAAATTGTAGTGGGAAGAAATATTGCATATAGACAGGCCTTTTTTGAACAATTTTGGTGACTAAACACATTTATGAATGTCAATTGAATAGAATTTTAATGGATTATTACAAGCACAAAAACCTTTATATTTTGTTTTGCATGATGAAAATCAATGCGTAAATTAGCAGGAAACAAATATAAATTATTATGATCCCCCCCGTAGTTTAGATAATGTTGTGAATTGTTTTTAATTTCTAGTAGCTTTTTTGCATGTTATTAGAATTCTGCTCATCATAACAGTCATACTATTTTGTAGCAAGCCATCAGCATACAGACTTTATTGGGAAAAAATAAAGTGTTAACGTGAAACTATAGGCACAAAACAACTATATCTAGATTACTGATGCATGGTGTTTTGGTGTCAGGAAACCCTTGGAGACACTTTTATCTCAAGGGTTTAAACCGTTCTGGAATGGTTTAACTCTAAAGTTGCCTCCAGGGCGATCTCCACTACCCACCTGCCGGCTTCTGAATTTTAAGATTCATGAAGCGTGGAGTGCCGCCGGGCAGGGGCGCCGCTGATTGTGTGAGAGTGGTCAGATGACACTCCCAGCCCTTCAATGACTCCCCATTCCCTAAACTGGCTTGCAAAAGGAATGTTTCTTTGCAAGACAGTTTAGTGATTGGAGAGCCACTGATTTGGAGAGCATCAGCTGACCACTCTCAGCCAATTAGTGGCGCCCGTGCCCGGCGGGACTCCACGCTTCCTGAATCTCAAAATTCAGAAGCCACCAGGAGGATAGTGAAGTCGCCGCTGGAGGCAACTTAGGGGTTAAACCGTGTAACGGCACTCCCAGGCATAAAAGGGTTAAACCGCCGTTTAGTAGATCTTCCCTTCCAAAGACACTGGCACAGCTACTGCAGAACACCAATCCGCCGAACAGGAAACCATATGAATGCCGTAAACAGCCGAATAGGAAAAACCATACGAATAGGTTTACACTCCTAGTCGAACTGGAACAGCATACAATAAATCCCCCAAGAACGAGACAAGGCTCCGTTTTGAGGGTCAAGCAGGAACAGACAGAGCTGTGGGTTTATTGTTCTTATATACACATTAGTACCACCCACAGGGTTTTGGAAAACAACCAATAAACACGTACAATACACTCAGACACTCCAACGCAAAATCCTCCCCTCTGCCTGTGATACAATTACCTTACACAATGGATAATGTAATTATCACAAGCAGAGAAATACAGTTTTTCCACATTATTCATAACTTTAAAAGTATGCATCACATTCACATTCATAGCTTAGGTCTGAGCGCACATTATTACTGAATTGCTCTCAGACCACACACATACAGTTCAATTGCCATGGAGCTAAAGTCTTTTATTACACGAATAGGCTCCATGGCATAGCTATCTGGGTTAAATGAGTTCATTCAGTAAATCCGAGAATCTACCGAACACCAGAGCAGAAATACATGAATAGACCTTTCTGCATAGGGAAATAAAGTATTTAAATGCCGGTCCATAGTCAAAAGGCAGCAGGCATGCAACCAGGCTCCTCCAATGCACAGTGGCGAGATTGGTCTCTTCACAAACCGTTCATGAACAGTTTAACCACTTGAGGTAAGAGTGCTTTCTGGCACCAAAACAACTTTATTTACATTAAGTTGTTTTGGTGCCTGGAGTGTTCCTTTACCTATTCTCAATAATTTATATGATCAAATGCTCCTCAGATTTGCTCGGGTTGACAACAAAGGCTACATTAAAACTGTTTTGAAAGTTTTTTTTTTTTTTTTTCCAGTGCTTTTTTGTGCCTAGTTTATTCACTAAACGTGTAAAATGTAGAAAAATGATCAGCCAGCAAAAACCTTTTTTAGACACTTCCTTGCATATTTCAATAATAAATCCTGCATTTTGTTTGCTAGTTCACTATAATTCCCGTTTACAAATAAACCATTTAAGATGTTTGAAAAGTTATTGCTGAATATTAAATATAATTTGGAAAACATGGCAAACACAATCCAAAAAAGCAACATTACCCTCTTCTTAAAAAATGGCATAGCTAGCTATGTATATAAAGATATACAGACACTCTGTGCAATTTCACTTTTTGATTTTGATGCAATGTATTTAGACATGATAGCGTTTAGACCTGGTTCTATTGAAATATCTCCCACTGTTATTGCAGATCAGCGTTTACTATGCATGTTGAAGCTGGGCATTCAACAATCCCCGAAGAAGGACCCAAAGATCTTCGCTGTCCGTTCTGCCTTTACCACACCAAATATAAACACAACATGATAGATCATATTGTTCTACATAGAGGTAAATCCTTTGTTGCTTAATTGTTGTATGTTAACAAAATCTTTAATTACTTTTTTGTTTTTATCAAACAGAGAGCTTTAGTGCAAAACAGGGGTCGACAAAAGGTAAATTATTATTATTATTATTATTATTATTATTATTATTATTATGAAAGGGTGGATGTTAAATTCATAGATTACTAAATAATTACAATAAATCACATAGTTAAAGCTACAGATAGTATACAAAGAAATAAAATGCCTATCTTGCTTACATAGACGTGACTTTAAGTTAAGCATTGGCAAAGGATAAAAAAAAAGAAGGGAATAGGATAAGCAGAAAGAAAGGAAGCAAGGGTGGTAATTGAAGGGGACAGTGGGAGGAGGGGTAAATGAATGGTGATGGTAATGTGTAGCTGATGCAACAAGGGGCTGGTAGTGTGGGTTATCACTTGCATTAGGTTGATACCAAACCATCAGGATTTTGTTAACCTGCCCAACATTGTTGTGAACATGGGCAAAACCTGCAGAGGCACTCTAGACACCATAACCACTAAAGACCAGCAATTTTACTGTGATTGCCAAGCAAAGTTGAAAAAAGCTAATGTGGACATTTTCATTGTTGCATTCTGTAGAATTCTTCAAGTGTCCAAAGAACACTAGTATTTCAGAGTCTGAAATTATCTTTTGAAACAGTTAATGGAAAATATTCTTATGTTTTTTTGTTTGCTTGATTTTTTTTTTTCTATTAAAATGTGGCTATTTTCTCACATGGGTTTCTAATCTTTTATCTTGTAAGTGCTTAATTTAGTTTGTGTCTGCCTACTGTACTGTAACAGGAAATATACTGGCATTTACCAAATTCGGTAAATTAAATTTTTTTTTTTATATCCTATACTTTAAATATAGTGTGGGTGTGGGAAAAGCAAGTCTTGACTGGTGTGCAGATTTTTGTTTAACATTGTATTAACTATCCACAGACTTCAGGTGGAAGGGGTTTTCAATCACAATTTTTCCCCACCATAACCTATTTGGATTTTGCTACCCAAGCCCTACCAAGCCTCAATAAGCAAACCAGTAACCAACCTAATACTGATGATTTGCATTAACAATGAAACCGCTGTCCATGAATGGTTCACTGGTTTTGCATCTTTCCCTAAGTTGTATTTCAAAGCTGTTGTATACAGCAAACACAGATTCAAAGGAATCCATGTTTAAAATGGAATGAGGCAAAAATTAGATTCTTTGATAAACTTATTTGCATATGCCCACCCAGAATCCTTTGCAGTAGTAACATCACGTCAGATTTGATTTCTGTGGGAAAAGCAAGTCTTATGGCTTGACTGGTGTGCAGATTTTTGTTTAAAATTGTATAATATATATATTTTATTGGATTAGCCGTATTAGTCCAGTAGACAAGATGTCAAATTACCAGAGTATTGCAGTATGCAATGATACCTTTTTTTTTTTTTTTTTAATTGGACTAACATAATTTTTCAAGTTTTCGATTGCTTTCCGCTCTTCTTCAGGTCTGAAGCAATACTGATCAATCTGATAGTGTTTAACACTTAAAACAACTGATGTTAGAGAAGGGGAGGTGAGGCCTGACAGTTTCTTATTATTTTTCCTAATGAGACTCTGTTCCTGTAGAAGTAATCCATTTATATTTCCATTGCCTTGGTTTCGGATGTGACTTGTTGAAAATCTTGAACGAAGGTCTCCTTATGGCCAGGCAGAGTAAATTTTGTTTTCTGCCATATAGCTGGAGAATTTTTTGTTTATTTTGCGTAGTTTCTCACTGCAGAGATTCTCAGCGTATGGTGAGTAACTCTATTTATGACACCCCAGTCACCCCCCCTTCTCTAATATCAGTTGTTTTAAGTGTTAAACTCTATCAGATCGATCCAATAAAAAAGGTTTCATTGCATACTGCAATAATCTGGTATTTTGGCATTGTGTGTGTGTATATGTGTGTATGTATATGTATGTGTATGTGTGTGTGTATGTATGTATATGTATATATATATATATATATATATATATATATATATATATATATATATATATATATATATGTGTATATATATATATATATATATATATATATATATATATATATGTATATATATATTTTTTTTTTTTTATTGTTTTTACTTTTTTTATAAGATCTAATTATAGATTCACCAAGGAAATATTTTAAAAAATAAATTGGCTGTTAGGGTTGTCAGTGGACAAGTAGTAAAAAAAAAAAAAAAAATAGTATTTATAAACCGCTTTTAGCTGTATAATCTGATAAACCTATTTAACGGTTGCTATACACCCAAGCAATGGATTTGAATAGCCAAAAATGGTTGAACACAAAGTACAACTATCATTATTTTTTCAAATTTGATATTATTTGAACCGAAAATTATGAGCTTCTGATAAGCCTTTAACGTTTGTAATTAAATCGATCTGATCCGTTAAATGGTTTATGAGGAACCAATAAACATAGTCTGCTGGAATTGCATAGAGGCCATTGTTGGCAATTAGCATTTGAATGGTAATCAATCTCTTTTGTATCTTTACTCCACTCCCTGCGTTGTTACTCTGTGTAGTTTACACAAGAATGTGTGTGAAAACTCTGATTTGTCATAAAGTTTTTCAGTTGTTTTAACATTTTCCCACTCATTTGTTAAATATCCTGCATTGTTGGAAGTTAAAGGGTTACTCCAGGCACCATGACCTTATGTGATTTGAAGCAATCAATGTGACTTGAGTCTCTGTGTCCAGTGTTTAGCTATGAATCCCTGTACATACAAAGATGAACCAACCCCTCTGCTGCTGGAGGTGTAACTCCACCTCTGGCAAAGTAATTAGGCATCATTAGCCAGCTGGGAACAAGAGTTCTGGGCTTGTTTTTGTGAATTTGGTGCAGATTTGGCATTTGATGCCAGCAGGCTTCAGACAGCCAATGACTACATGTCCTCTCCCCTTTGGGTTGCCCATATCCTCCCATCAGTCTGCCCCTTCTTAACCTTCCAACCCCTCCGACTGAGAGGAGAACTTTGCCTCGGTGCCGAAATAGAGGTACATTTTAGCATTATTTTTATCTGTTTACTGTTTACTATTTTTTTTTTTGGCTCCGTCACTCCATACTTGCCTTTCTCCAGTAGTTTCCTCTTTTCTTTCTCTTGTCTTATTTATTTTTCCAATGCTAGACAAAGGGTGGAGCTTAAGGAAGCTGCGCTTCCATTGTCTAGTAAACGTTTCCCACAGTGCTCACCTTTCCATCCATTCCTTCCCTCATAGCATCTCAAGACCATATCATCATTTTCCAGTGTAACGCATATCCAGTACTCACTACCGATCCACTCTGTCTCCTCCTTTGCATCTCCACAATCCGTACATTGCTAAATATGGTCATGGGGCATCCATTATGGACACACGTGATTGTATAGTGCTAGTCTCAAGTGTGCGTGGGAATTAAATCTCGTCACATACTCTGGGCAGTGGAAGGCCGTGATATTGCATCACTTTCAGTAATTAGAAGATAGTGGTGCCAGGAATGAGGTTCCAGTGCCTTCAAGTATAGAAGGTAAGTTGGGGGAAAATTGAGTAAAATAATTACATTTTAGAGCTGTTACAAGTCTTAGTGTGTGTGTGTGTATGGAGGGGGAGAGGGGTTGGACGGGGAGCCTAGAAAAAGGATATGGCTATGATAGAGCTGCATTAAATCGGTACATGCCAGTCTTTTGTAAATATGCGCTATTGTTCTAAATGCAAAAACTTGTGGTTGATCTTAATTGTAAGCAATTTAATGGATTGGGAGTTAACATATTTAAAATCTAATTTCTAACAACCACTTGTAGGACTTCAAAAAAATGTGTGAAATGATTTGGATCAGTGCATTTAAAATGGCATCAAAAGATTCAAACTGGCCATTATCTTTGATATGTGTAACACCAATAACTTAAGGTGTTGATTACAAAATTAAAAAAAAAAAAAAAATTGATGAAATTCATTATTTTACTTAAAGGACCACTATAGTGCCAGGAAAACAAACTTGTTGCGTCCAGCGTCTTTTCACTGTGATTTTCACAGTGAGAAGTGCGGAAGCGCCTCTAGCAGCTGTCAGTGTGACAGCCACAAGAGACTGGATTAACCCTAGTTTACTAGATGGACCTGGCACCCAGACCACTTCATTGAGCTGAAGTGGTCTGGCTGCCTATAGTGGTCCTTTTAAAGGACCACTATAGTGCCAGGAAAACATACTATTTTTCCTCAGGGACCCCCTCCCGCCGTGCTCTGGGGAGAGGAAGGGGTTAAAATCTTACCTTTCTGCAGCGCCGGGCGGGGAGCTCTCTGCCTCTTCTCCTCCTCTTCGGCTGAATGCGCATGCGCGGCAGGAGCTGCACGCGCATTCAGCCAGTCTCATAGGAAAGCATTCATAATGCTTTCCTATGGACGCTGGCGTCTTCTCACTGTGATTTTCACAGTGAGAAGCACGCAAACTCCTCTAGCGGCTGTCAATGAGATGGCCTTTAGAGGCTGGATTAACCTATTTATAAACCTAGCAGTTTCTCTGAAACTGCTAGGTTTATAAAAAAAAAAAAAAATGGGTTAACCCTAGCAGGACCAGGCACTCAGACCACTTCATTAAGCTGAAGTGGTCTGGGGTTCTAGAGTGGTCCTTTAATGCCAATCCCTTTTTGGCCACTGACATGTGAAAGGTGAAGCATTTGCTGATTTTGTTTTGTTACTGGAGGGCACTTGTATTGTTAGCAGGTGGTGTATTCGCTTGCATGTTATCTAATGACATGAGGATTTCTCATGTGGCTGTAGTATCTCTTGTGCATAGGGTTGTCAGGGTGGTTGACGGTTGTAGTAACAACTGCTTCATAGCTGAATGTAACAAACATGGCAACAATCTTCTGACGAACAAGTGTGTTTTTTCTGATATTACAGCACAAATAGAGATTGGCCCTCAATTTGATTTATCACATGAATTTATTTGGCCATCAGTAAGATATGTGTGCACAGTATAAATAAGTAAAAACATATATTTCAGTTCAAATTGTATATTTTGCAATGTGTATTTAATGTTGGATATTTCATTTAAAATTATTACATTGATTAAAAAATAAAAATAGCTTTATTTAGGGTAAAAATCTTCATTATTGGGTTTTGTTTCACGAGCCACCAACAGTAGGACATGTTAGACACACATTATGTAGAATGTTTGTTAGGTTACAGTTGGTTATACTAGGTATTTGATTTTATTTATGATTTATTTGAAAGGTTAAAGAATAGCCCCAAGCTGCACACTGCCCTCCCACTCCATGCACAGTATATCCAACTTTAAACAATTCTTGACAGTATGGCAAACCATTACATATAACTGTAATATGAGTTTTAGCTTAGCCTGCAACACTCAGAAACCATTGCTGTGCTGAGTAATATGAGATATGCTCACCAGTCTTAGAAAACTACACAAGCGTTAGGATTGGCTAGGTCATTTCCTGGTTTTGTGAGACCTCTTTGTTTGTGAAGTAATAATCTAGAGGAAATGCACATTTCTGTAAAACAGAAGTGCACACAAAGAAGTTTATTGCATAGTTTATAGCCAAATCCAAAGCTAACTAGATTAAAAACACTATTGTTTATTATAACTGTTCTTGTACTTTGTATTTCACTATATAAAAAATCTATTTAAAACAAACATTGCAACACAGTTTATAACTCTCCTTTTTTTTTAACTTAATTTTAATACAACAAGAAATGGCGGTCATTTAATTTGAGCAGTCGCCATAGAAGACAATAGGATAATATGTTTCTGTATCAGAAAGCATCAAAAATGAGGATTGCCTTGCCTGTGATGTTATTCCCAAGCAGGGCCAATTCCAGCAGACTGTAGGCGGTAATAAAAGGGTGGATAATATAGCACTGGAGCAAGGGGCTGCAGTTAAGGAAAGGGAAGCTCCCAAAGCATATACATTTTTAATTCATGATAAGCCTTGTAAACTATAGCATGACAGGTTCACTTTAAAGAAACACTATAACAGTAGGAATACAAATATGTATTCATAATGCTATAGTGCCCAAGTCACCGTTTAGATGGCCGGGCCAGCATTGCCATGGTTAAATAAAGTAAACCTTTTCTCCTCGCTGTGTTGGTCTCCTTGCTCAAGCTCTGCCTGATAATCACAGGTACAACTCAGGTAAGTAAGGGATGGGGGAAAGGCAGCAGGGACACTGGAAAACATGGGGATACTGAGACACTAGGGGACCCTGGGAGACATGGGGACGCTGAGACACACGGGAACGCTGTGAGACATAGGGAGACATTGGGACACGGAGACACTATGTCCCCCAGTCAGTGTCCCTAGTGTCTGTGTCCCATGTCTCCCAGCCAGTGTCCTCAGTGTCTCCAAGCCTCTGTGTGCCTAGTGTCCCCGTGTCTCCCAGTGTCCCTAAATGTCCCAGTGTCCCCATGTCTGTCCACAACTGTCTCCTAGTGTCCCCAAGTGTCTGTCTCCCAGCCAGTGTCCCCATGTCTCACAGTGTCTGTTCCAATGTCTCTGTGTCCCTAGTGTCTTAGTGCCCCCAAATGTTTCAGTGTCCCCATGTCTCTGTGTCTCTAGTGTCTCCATGTCTCCCAGTGTCCCCATGTCTGTATCCAGAAGTGCTCCCATGTCTCCCAGTGTCCCCAAGTGTCTGTGTCCTCGGGTCTCAGTGTCCCCGTGTCTCACTGTGTCCCCTAGTGACATGGGGACACTGAGAGAAATGGGGACACTGAGACACTGGTAGACTAGGGGACTGGGCAACATGGGGACACTGACACTGTGATACATAGGGACACTGGGTGACTTGTGAGACGGAGACACTGGGAGCAATCAATCTATACAGCAGAATCAAACTGTGAGTAGTTTGTTGGTGATTTTACAGAATTTTCTCGTATGTCACTCCTTGTGATTTACATCATGCATAACTAATTAATTATACAAATGATTAAGGCTGATATTTTTTTCCCAAGAAAGATGGCAACCCTAACTACTCTGCACATACTCTGGCATGGAGCGAGCGCATCATTAGACGCATTTATGCCAAGCTCAGGGTGCTGCCTGCATACTATGCCCTGAGTTGGAAAGCCTGCATGCTGGCATGCAGCCTGACATGCATTCATGCCAGGCTGTCCTTCAAATTCTTTGGACAGACATGACCTCTTTCTGGGCATGTTCAAGCCTTTTGGCAGTTCTGGTCACGTGATTCGCACCAGTGGCCCATCCTTTTACCCTGCCCATTGACTTCCTGCTTCACTGGACACTGCTGTTAGGGGTTATGGATTTACTTGAAAGATGAAAGCATAAATTAGATAGAGATTAGCATGGGGTGTGTGTTTTCTTATAGCTGCATCCTATGAGTTTCCCTCCAGCACCATCTCCATCAGATATATGACGCTTGGGAGGTAGGACTGTTTTTTAGTGTTTTTGGTCGATAAGATTCCGTAATTAGGCCCATTATAATTGTCAGCACCAGGCCCACTGGGAACTTAATCTGGCCCTGGTTCCTTTAACACCATGCCAAATCTTGAAGTAGTTGTCGTGACATTTATTTATTTCGTATTAAGTATTAATAGCACAAGCTTTGTTTTTTTTGGTTTCCTTTCTGATACTTCACACCTGCATGACAACCACATGTTTCAAGTTTTGTTTATGTAAATGACGTTTGATAGATTTGCAGTGCAGTTTATTTTCCTCATTGCAGATTATGTACAAAAAAAAGTCCTAAATACAAGCAAAGTTAATATACAATAAAAGGATATCTGCCTCTGGTGTTCAAAGTGTCATAACCTTGTGCTTTACGTCAAGATCTGCAGTAACATATTTGTGCCTTCCTTACTGTATTATCAGTAATAAGCAACATTTGACAAACTGTGTTTGGAAGCTGATTTGGCCGGTCAAAATATGTGTTGTAACAAAATAGTGACTATATAGTTAATTCATATTGTGGAGTGGGATACGCTGGGGGGTTGATTTATAGTTAGGTCTGTGCTATATGAGATTGTATGTGGCTTAACTTTCACCTTTCTTTCAGAAGAGAGAGTTGTTCCAATAGAAGTCTGTCGATCCAAGCTATCAAAGCAACTGCAAGGTGTCATATTCCGGTGTGATAAATGTACTTTTACCTGCTCCAGTGATGAAAATTTGCAGCAACACATAGAGAAGCACAATGACTTGAAACCCTACAAATGCCAGCTCTGCTACTTTGAAACCAAGCAAACAGAGGAGCTAGACAGCCATCTCAGAGAGGAACATAAGGTATATACTGTTAAATATGATACACAAATAAGGACAGATGCAAAGTTGGCAATTTAAACTCCCCATGGAAAGAACACCAAGATATATGGGGCACTATTGCATCATTATTTTCAAACCAGCATTATTAACACACTTTATAGCACAAGTGGATGCATGGCTCCTAATTTTGTTGTAAAATGACCAATAAAACAACCATGAATTGGTCTGCTGTTAACCTCCTATATGAATAACCTATTATTATCACTTATGAGTTTAAGTTTTTAGTATTAATGGTGTATGCGGTCTAGGAGAGGATCCACGAGATTCCATATTCACTGTCCTTACATGATGTAATCTACTGTTCCTCAAAATAAGTAAAATGCATAAGTCATTCACAGTGAACACCTAGTCATTTTTGTAATCTGTGAGAGTAGATAATTAAAAGAAAAAGAGTGGAATTGGAAAAAATTGTTCCAATTGTTCATGGGTTAAAATTCCCATAATTCTTTCAGGCAGAAATACAATAATTTGTTGGCATCTTCTTCAGATCAGTACTCTATTTTTCTGCTTGAGGTTTATGTTCGACTAAACTCTCTCAAATTCAAAAAGGTAACTCACAGTACGTAATTGAAATAACAGACATCCTTTCTTAGCATAGTCGGACTCTGTTGATGAGCTTGGTGACAGCTTGAATTGCAGGTGGCTCTCCACATTACAGAAATAACTTGACTGCCACTACTGTTAACAATATTGGTTAAATACAGTCTTTAAAATTTTAATAATGAGGGATTAACATTCAAATAACAGAAATTGGCGATTTAATGCTATGTTTAACTCCTTAAGGACACATGACATGTGTGACATGTCATGATTCCCTTTTATTCCAGAAGTTTGGTCCTTAAGGGGTTAAAAGCAATTTTGGAAAAATGTAACACACGCAGAGTTTCAGTTTAATTATTTAAACATTTTGCTTCCCAGAGACCGATATTACACCCTCCACTAAATCCAGACATATGTATTGTTGGGGAAAAAGAATTGTATTAGTGCTGTTCTTTAGGTTGCATTCATGAACATACAATTATTTGTACCTACATTTAAACAATGCTGCGTAAACACACCAAGAGTTTCCAATCCTGTCTATATTCTCAGAAAAATCTTCTAAAACTAATGTGTGATTTGGAGAAAAACCGAGTGAATCCCATGTTTGCTAGGAGCACTTCAGGGCCAATTATGAATGTAAGGGCATCACTGATTTTTTTTAATTTTTTTAATTGGTTTCTTAATGTAGGTATGTCGCAATTTTGAACTGGTCGGACTAGTGAATTTGGATCAGTTGGAACAATTGAAAGATAAAAATGAGACTTTAAGCAGTGATGAAGAAGAAGCTAGTAAGTCTGAAGGTATGTACTGCTGGTATTTATTTGTTTGGATATAATTTTGTGTTTGGGTTCAACAGATTTGTATTGTAGCAACTGCAAAGGAAATTAGAAATGTTTTCCCTTATAGATTAAGAAAATTAATTTCAAGAAGTGTTCACATGACACAATAAGATGGTATCATTTCCTGGTATTTTGTATTACTTGTGTAGGGAGGAAACAATAAAGTAAAGTGTACAGGATAGTTCTGTGTAATAAAATATAGATGCTGATATGAGATTTTAGAAATACCCTTGGTATACATCAGCCAATCAGACTTTTAGGTTACTGAAAATTAGCTAAATCTAATAAATCTACTTTTCTCTCATTTTCACATCTCTATGTGCCTTAGAAATACAATAACCTGCCAAACATCACCCAAGGTTTATTAGCCTGGCCTAATGTTCAGTGGCTCACTTGACATATCAGTAATTTGTCACTAAATTGGATTTAATAAATTTAAAAGGGCTTCCTTTTTTCCTTTTAGAAGATCTAAATATATATATATATATTTGTGTTTTTTTTTTTTTTTTAATGTAGACAACACGTTTGCCAGCAACGATGTAGAAACACCAGGTAAACGTTTTCAGTGTGAATTCTGTGGACGAACCTTTACACAACACTCCGAATGGGAACGACATGTGTTACGTCATGGCATGTAAGCTTACTTACAGTTTTGTCTTGTTTGTGGATTTTTTTTTTTATTATTTCTGTTGTTACTGGTTTATTCCCAGTATAGAAATAAGTGAGTTTTCTTACAGTAATATTACACCATGTTATGTTTGTAAATATAACCCATACTTACTTCAAATCTGTATCTAGCCTATGCAGTATTTAAAATTTACCATTATCAAGTTGGCTTGTCACTACAAATCAAGCTGCATTGCAGAATGAAAATATAATGCATTTAGTTTTATATTGCTTTTTTAAAACAATATTTACGTGCTCACTGAAGACAAACCATTTAATTTACAACTGCTCATTTAAAGAAACACTCCAAATGCCATAACCATAAGTAGTCAAACAATATTTAATACCGATTAGGTTCTTGTCTGCGGTCTGCCAGTCGGCACTCCCTGCCATCACTACTGTTGTTAGCTCTCCTTAGCTGTGCCCTGCAGCGCAGGGCTATCTGATTGGCTCAGTGTGTCAGCCGATCACTCTCATCCATTGAGCTAACTCCTGCACTGCGTGGCTTAGCTCAGACAAAGTAGTAGTGGAGGCAGGAAGAGTACTGTAGTAGTTATGGGACATGTGTGTTTTTTTTTTAAGAATGAAAGAGTGTAACATATATAGCACAACAAAGAAAATTGTTGAATTAAAAATTTTGCAAGGCTATAAGGGGACGCTCCCAACTGCCACCTTCCGCTTTCATACAAGTTAAAGAGTAGTAAACTATAGAATCTAGACATCAGCTTTTAGAGTTCAGGTACCCCTGGCCCGTCAACTACCTTTCCCATGGTATGAGCGTAGAATTGTGTAGAGCTCAGCCGTTTGGGAAAACAATATGTAGACTGTTCAGGAATCATGGAATAGTGTAAGTCCCGAGTTGGAGGGAACGACAGTATGGTGTTACAGGAGGCTGCGTGTCCTAGTCCTCATGTCCCAGAGTGACTTCTTTAGCCTATGCCTTTAAGAGTTTCTGACAGTAAGCCTTGTTTTGATTATCACATGTGTATAGCTTTCATGAAGTGAAGGTTAGAGTGTTGTTCCTTTGATTGTTTTCAGTTTTGTGATTGTGCTTAAAAATTAAAAGCCAGGATTCCTTGTAAATGAGTTAAATTAGTGAGCATTTTTTGCTGTACGTGTGGTGTGATGTGATATTTTTCACCCAGAATCTCCCGATTACTCCATGTGTGAAGACAGCCTACCACCATTATTTTGGCGTCCAGCTAGGAGATCAGGACAAACCCTGGGCACCTCATATTTTCTGCAACACTTGCTCTGTGATTCTACGTGGGTGGTTAAATAAAGAACTTCAATGCCTACTGACATCGCAATAACTTGGAGAGAGGTCACAAATCATGTAATTGACTGCTATCTTTGCATGGTACATCCTATGCATGGCCTATCAAAAACAAAGTGGAATATCCCAACATTCCTTTAGCTATCTGACTAGTGTCACTTGATCTGCCTGTACCTCGCCCTCCAGAAGAGTACAGTCGGCACGCAGACAACAATTGGGACAGTGTGAAGGAGGGATCACCTGAGCCTTCATCACAGGATCTCGATTTTGTGCCACAAACTGAGTAGCTGAGTGATCCACACAGAATTACTCAGGATGAACTTAGTAATCTAATTTGAGACCTGGATCTATTGAAATACAAAGGAGAGCTTCTAAGTTCAAGGCTCCAACAGTGGAATCTGTCTGTGTATAGGAGCCAGCAAAAAGATTTTAATTCAATATTTTAAAAAGTAAAATAACCTTGTTGCCTACTGTAATGTCAGTGGTTTGATGACCGCTTTGAATGTGAAGCACAACTCACAGGACTGTAAGCTATTCATAAACTCCTCAAAGCTTAGTTTAAAAGCTGTGTTGCTGCACAATGGCAATTCTCTTCCTTCAATTCCTGTTGGCCATGCTGTCCACATTAAGGAAATATATGAGAATATGAAATTACTTCTGGAAGCAATTATGTACAAAGACCACCAATGGTAGATCTGTGGAGACTTTATGGTGATTATTTCTGGAAAGTAACAACAGATGCCCCAGAAGAGGAGTACAAGTGAGAAGCAAAGAGAAGGTGTTCTTGTGAATTTTTTCATCTTGTGTTATTTGTGATTGATGGAATCAAAGGAACTTTCATTTCTGGTGTATGGAGTTAATATCGGTTTGTTCTAGCATTGCTTTTCACTATGACTTTACATCACTGAAGCTCAACTAGTGTATCTCACAAACTAGAGCTAATAAAATGATTCCGAAGTCATATTCCTTTTTTCTTGATCCAAAATTAATAAGGTATGCATTTTTAGTAAGAAAGCAAATTAAATATGTTTTATTAAACAGAGTAATTAATCAGTGCTAACATTATTAGTGTATGTTGGCTGCCCACTTCCAGAACATTGCTTTTGAACTTTTTGCCATTTAAAATGTTTCCCCTGCAAAAAAAAAATATATATGTATTTTAGGCACGTACAGAAAATATTTAACTTCACATTCTTAATAAGGTTTAGGAACTCAAAAAATAGAATTTGAGTAACTGTATGTGATAGAAAGAAAACATGTGCACTAATATGTAGACTAAACCTACACTAGCTTGCTTTGTGATAATAAGCATGTCTTAAAGTTGATGCTGGCCGCTACATTGTTAAACCACGCATTTATATCTTATTTGATTTTCGCACCTTGATCTTTACCTATATTTTCATTCCAGTATAAAGTTTATTGAAAATACAAACCTGTTGACTTATTTATTTTTTTATCTTTTATTATATTGTTGCACATCGGTGTATGAAATCTTGTAATTTATGCTGTCTCTAATTTTGCAGGACAATACCTGAAAACAAAGAAAACCGAAAGCCAAAAGAAAACGTTGAAGAAAGTCGGAAAGAACTTTTTGTGAGCAAAGTTGAAAAGTCAGAGGATGGATTAGAAGATTCTTTTCAGCAGGCAAAAGTGTCTAGTTTTAAAAACCAATCTTTTGTGGACAAAATGGAGACCAAAAAGGAATAAAACATTTCAGGAGATCTAAGAGTACATACTTGAACATTTACAAAATTGGTGAAATCTACAAATAAAAAGCTGCTTTTTAAAACCTTACTTTTCCCAAGCACTGGTACTCATGCAATTGTGTATAAAGTACTATATTTAAATGAAGAACTGAGTCACTCCATTGACATCACTACTTCTGTGTTCCATGCTTACCATTAAGGAAGCTTCATTTGTTTGGGATTAATGGGTGGAACAAATAATTTTTTCCCAAGACTGATCCAATCCCTCATGTGATAATACTTTTCAAAGCACCACTTTTGGGACATGTTTATACGTTTTAATACAAGCTTTCCATGCTGTTGCAGCTGCTCTACAGACAACTACAGACTTCTCTGCTCTTTATACAAGGATCAACAGATTCTTAGTACCTCAGAATTAACCAAGGGAATTCTCTGTATTTGTTCATACTACTTTCCCCAGAGGCTGAATGTTGAGCAAGATGGTGAACAAATATATTTGCAAAAGAGAAAACTAGACAATATGTTCTCTTTGACACCCCTGTTGGGCTTTGTCTTAAAATACTGTGATTATTTTTTTTTTTTTTATATTTTAATAAAACAAAAATTAAAAAAAAGTTAAAATACTAGGTTACTGTATGTGAAATGTCACTCTTAACCGCAGGTAAGCTGTTTTTTTTTTGTTCTACTTATATAAGTAGCCCCTTGATTTGTGAAGGCTACTACACCATGTACTATTTCTACTTGTTTGAAATCCACAATAAAAAAGCAGCATAAATCTTTTAATTTTTTTTTACTGCTTTGGAATGGTTGTTTTCCAGAAAACTGTGTGTACCTGGTACACCTGTTAGAAAAATTAATTTGTATGCTAAATAATCAATTTTGCATATGGTATGTTTATTTCAAATTGCAATTTGATCTAGTATTTTTAATACAATTTGTTTTAAAATATTGTTTTTCTAGAGGTTAAAAAAAACATGTTGTCAAATGACCTTTTTGTTAATTTTAACTATATCTTGCACCTCCAGAGTCAGCTCACAGCACACTGACAGGTTAACTAACATATGCATAACTTATTATATTGAGGGATTATTGTGTTTGTTTATCAGAGCTAGTATTCCTCTCTAACCACCCCTTGTTTATTTTCCCACTCCTCTTTACACTCTTTGTCTGCCTATTTAAATCTTGATGACCTTAGGAGTGAATTAGAACATTCCAGCTAATTGAGCATTATTGTAAATCAGTAATTAGGCCAAAATGTTTCTTGTATATGACCTTTTAGTTATTTTAACTCTTCCCATTGCAGTTTCTTTCTCCCTATCTCTAATCACCTATATATTTTGATTTATTTTCAAGTCTTGGCTTACAAAGGTAGTTTTCACTTAAATTTGCTTAGGGTTCCTCCATTGAGTTGCTGCATTCCCTACCTCATTACTTTCATGTCTAATGTACTGACAATTTCTAAACCAATCAAATTGGGGCGTTCTTGTGAAAATAAATAAAATGGTGAACACCTTTTTTATTTTTTTTGCCCAAGTTTCAAATATGTTTTTGTTCAAATTTATATATACGAAAGACCGGAATAGTTTTTACGAATACAGAAGTTCCAGTAGACCATTTGTTACCTGTTAGGTAGCTTTAAACACACACTGGAAGATACAACAGATGGTTCGTTGCTGCCAAAACATGGAGCATTATCAGTTGAACTTGTTCTTTAAGCTCTTTTTGACAGTGAGTGGCTACCAAAAACAATAAAGGTTCTGATGTGTTTTTATCACTACTTTATTTTTCAAATAACATGTAAATATTGTAATCCATTGGCCTTCTGTTTTGCTAAACTGTTAATAAATCTGCGGGACCATTATCCTTTTAAACCTATATTGCATGTGGTTTGTGTTCAGCTGACTGAAGTTTGTTTGGTGTGTATAAACCATTATCTAGAGGGGATGTGTAAACAGGGTATATGATTTTTTTAAATCAGCCCAAGACTGCATAAAATGAAATGAGAGTAGTTCTAATTTATTAGTGTATTAATGTGGTTCTTCAATAAGTTCTTATTTTTTTTTTTTTATTATTCTTTATTTTTTCATCTTGACAAGAGTAGCCAGGTAACATTGACATTACGGCTTATGCAAAAGCCCGATAAGTCTCAGACAAGTTCAATTGTAGTTATACAGGTGCTAATGCAATGCAAAACCAGCAATTATAGTAGCGATATGCTGATTTGGCTACCTGCCAAGGGATTATTTTTTTTTTTTTTTTGTTAACTTTGATTTTGCTCAATAGACACAGCAGGATTACATAAACTTTTGGGCTTACGCAGAAGCCAACTTGGATATAAATTTTTGGAAACATATCGTAATTCAACCGATACAACATTAGCCCCTTCCTCGAAAGAAGAAACCGTTAGTACCTGTCGTCTACAGAGGGCTTTACGTTTTCATACCTTATTTTTTATTTTAAGTATCACACCATCAATATGGTTCATTAAGAGATCTTGAAAATATTCTTCTAGATCAGGATTTAAAGTATGTATGAGATGTGTGCAATGGGTCAGTACATGCACATGAATGCAGATGTGTGTGGAGGACCACTACATAAAAAAAAAAGCAGTCTGTGTTCTTTTTCCATGATACTTACCTTCTCCTGGCCACATTTCTCTACACGACAAGTAACGTGGTCCACGCACTTTTTTCCTTTTCTCTGTCACTGTGTTCCTTTCTGTAACTGTTCAATTTCCTCTTTGTGGAAGTTAGAGACAGTGACAGAAAGTGAGCAGTGACAAAGTTTACATAGGAGCACAAACATTTTTAAAATCGTTTTATCACAAAAATGTTACATTAATCTCATATATTGTAATACAATTATTCTCATAAATGGTAGCCTATCGCAATATGCATATTCAAAAATAGTGATCATTAATAGATAATCATATAGTCAACTCCGTATAACACCAGATCACAAAATATCTATTCACTCACTAACCATTGGTGAGTGAAAATTAATCCCAATGTACATATCAGACAGACCCCTCACAGGTAATGCCAAATAAAACACAGCATCATCCTCCATAAAATTGCAGTACTTATACATTTAGAAGGACTCAGATGATGTTGTAAATGCACAAAATGCCTAAGACTGCAAACTGAGTTTCCTGGTGTGGTGGTCTTCCTCTGATCTCTAGCTTTTGTATTTTTAAAATGAAGGACTAAAGTAACTGCAATTTTGATTATCTTGAACGGTGAAGCTGTGTTCATTTGGCACTCCCTGTGTTGTGTCTGATAGATATGTACATTTGGATGTCTAACCTCTTAGTGACCAGACCGTTTTTCAATTTATTTATTTTTACCGTTGAGGACCAGGGCTGTTTTTACATTTCTGCAGTGTTTGTGTTTAGCTGGAATTTTCCGCTTACCCATTTACTGTACCCACACATACATATACTTTTCTCATCATTAAATGGTCTTTTTAAAGATAACATTATTTTCATCATATCCTATAATTTACTATAAAAAAAGTTTAAAATATGATGAAAATCTTTTTTGGGGGAATGTCCAGTCTTTTTTAGTAGCAAATTAGTCACAAACGATGGCCAAAGTTATCATTTATATTTGTTTGTGTGTTTAAAAAAATTCAAAAAACTATTATGAACGCTAACTTTGGCCTACTACACTAACTAGTGGCTACTAAAAAAGACTGAACATACCCCATTTACAATACCTTGGGTTGTCTTCTTTTGCAATTGGTATGCCATCATGGGGTTAATTCTCATTCCTGGGTTACCATATGCTCTCTAAGCCTTATATTTGACTATGTAACTTTTAAAAATGCTATAAAACCTGTGCATGGGGGGTCGCTGAACACAAATATTAGTGTTTCAAAACAGTAAAACGTATCACAATAATATCAGTGAAAGTGCCATTTGTATGTGAAAAATGCAAAACCAGTCACTTGCACTGACCATATCATCACACTGATATGTTTTACTGCTTTGAACACTAATATTTGTGTTAAGCGAAGTCTCCCAAGTAAAACAGTACCCCCCATGTATAGGTTTTATGGGTTTTTTCAAACTTACAGGGGTCAAATGTAGGGCTTTCCCCTTTTCCATGTTTGCACATTGAAATTTGCCTGATTGGTTTACTGGGCCTATGTTGTCTTTGAGACCATATGGCAGCCCGGGAATGAAAATTAACCCCATCATAGCATACCATTTATAAAATTAGACAACCCACAGTATTAAAAATGGTGTATGTCCAGTCTTTTTTAGTAGCCACTTAGTCACAAAACCTGGCCAAAATTAGCGTGTATATTTGTTTTCTTTGCATTTTTCACACATAAACTGACATTTCACTGATTATATTATCAGTATAATACAATTTACTGCTCTAAAACACTCATATTTGTGTAGAGTAATGTCTCACGAGTACAACAGTACCCCTCAAGTACAGATTTTATGGTGATTTGGAAAGTTACACAGCCAATTTCTGTTTTTTTAAAAGGCTATTTGCCAGTTTGGCTATGTATGTTGCCTTTGAGACTGTATGGCAACCTAAAAATGAAAATTAACCCCACCATGACATACCATTTGAAAAGGTAGACGACCCAGGGTATTCAACATGGGGTATGTCCAGTCTTTTGTAGTAGCCACTTAGCCACAAACGTTTGCCAAAGTTAGCATTCATATTTGTTTTTTGCATTTGTTTACATAAAAACTGCACTTTTACTGGTGATTTTATCGTTGTGATACATTTTACTTTTTAAAACACTCATATTTGTGTTCAGCGAAGTCTCCCGAGTATAACAATACCCCCCATGTAAATATTTTATGGTGTTTTGGAAAGTTACGGGGTTAAATATAGGGCTTGGCAAATAAGTTCACTGGACTGACTGGGTTGTCAGGCAGGTTGCTCAAATTATAATTAATAAAATCAAATAATTATGTAGTTCTATATATGTAGAATGTGTGGAGATATATATATGTATATAATACATGTGGGAATAAAAAATAAAATATATATATACACACACACCCACACCCACCCACATATAATACGTATCTATGTGTGTGTATATATGTGTGTTAATGCCTGGAGTTGTGGGAGGGGCATATAGGACCTATATAAGGGACTCCCCCCTGGACTGGCAATTTGAATGCTGCTACTTCCAGGGCATACAGACAGCCATCTCGCTACTACCGGTCCGTGGAAGCTTCTGTTTCCTGCTGTCGGGATCCCCCTGTCATCGTTGCTACAGCCCGCTCCTCCGATGGTCTCCTGGACGGCCTTCTGAACCGGAAGCTCTTGCCTGACCTCCGACCCTGTGAGCTTACAGTTGCGCTGGTGCCCTCTATTGGTATCCTCATGGTTTGATCCTCTCCTTTCACCTTTGCATTTGTTTCAATTATTTGTTCGGTTGCTTTCCTGGTTCCTACCATCCACACGCTGCCTCCCCCGTTCGGCTCTTTTCCATACAAACTAGTAGTTTGTCGCACGACTGCGGTCACACGTTGTTATGGGTAGACATACACAAAAGCTCTATTGACGTATAGCACGTTTGTGTCCTTTACTTCATTTGTATTGTAAAAGGGGATTCGGGGGGGGGGGAGGTCATTCAATTATAATTGCATCCTAGCCTAGGGTCCCAAACTAAAGGTAGACTATTCCAGTGGCCACGAATCCCCTCAAGCCAATTCATAGGTAGAGCCTCTCTAGCCGCTTGGCAATTAGCAGGGCCTCACCTGTCACCAACTTAATAAATCGTTTCGCCACTCAGCACTCGTTAGCCAGCCAGTAAAACAACCTTTTTTTCTAAATCATGTTTGATTTATCTTTCAGTATGTCTCTGATCCCTGAAGAAGCAGACGATTTATCACTCCCCAGTACGCCAGATCCATTTCACCTACTCGGAAAGGCAATAACAGTAGCCCTGCATCCATAGGTCATGGACCATTGCCCGCATCACAGCAGTACTTCATAAACGCAACATCTCTTTCCCAGCGATGGCCAGGAAAGCGGAACTGTTTAGGCTTATGCAGACAAATATTGACAACACAGGGGCGAGTGAAGGGACGAGTGGCTCCTGCAACTCGGATTTACACGCCATGATTTCCTCACTCGGATCTACTGGGAAAGTTAACGATAGACTGGATAGAATAGAGGCACGTAGCCTTCCCATTTCATCGTCTGGGGACCTAGCTCCTCAACTTCCAGGTTTTTTACAGTTATAGTCTGGTAATAGTGTACCCTCAGGGTCTGGAACTCATATCATCAACCCAGCCCATATGGTCCCTGTGAATCTTAAAAAAGACATCCTGGAAGGCAAAGATGTTAATCTTGTCTCACTACTGATTCCCTCTCAGGATATCGTGGAGAATCGCACGTACGCATACAGCGATATATCCGTTGTATTGAAATCTAGGGTAAGAAATTGTCTATCCCAGATTTTGTCATTGCCTTTGGGATTTATAGGGATGTTATATGCTCATTTCACCCTCATAGAAGGGAGGAGTTGGATCTCTACTTGCACAAGCTGGTGGACTTAGGTAATAAATATGGTGGTACATAATTTTATGATTACCACAGATCCTTTTCAGCGAAGGCTTCTGCCATTCTGGCTCAGTTCAATATCAAAACCGATTGGAGCCAAATGGACACTGAGCTGTTTTGTAGGCACTTCGCTGGGCTGAGGACACCAGCTTGTGCAATATGTGGGTCCATTATGCATGCCACAGACTATTGTCTGATTTCACCCAATATCACTCCTACCATGGCAGTCTCAATTGCCAGTGCCAAGTTTGACAAGCCGGTTAAGGATAAGCTTGGTCGTTCTATTGTATATTTAGGGAAATCACAGGTATGTAACAATTTTAAGGAAGGTATCTGCAGTTAAAGTGCCTGCCGCTTGTTGCATGCATGTTCTCACTGCTTTAGGGCACATGCAAAGTCCATGTGCCCAAATAAAATGCATTCCAAACCTTATCTGACCTCAGTGAATGTTGGTTCTCT